CCAGGTCGGAATAGTGTCAGCGTTTTATACCTGTTTTTATAAGACTTTCCCTTTGTCTTGTTGTCTTTGATAACTAATACATTTTTCTTGTTGTTTATATTTTATTTTCTGTTCTTGATGTTAATATTCGTATGTATGTGGGTGTCTGGGTGTTCATTTTTAGTTTTGGGTGAATGTGTTTTACAATGCAAGGCAGAGGAAAAAAGGAAATTGAGATAAGAGTGAAAGATAATTTAAAAGAAATAAAGAGGCTATGTATAAGTTTTGGTTTCACTTTTAAATGAACGGAAAATCACACTCTAAAGGTAAAAAGGGTATATCCCTTCCCATCTGGTCAAACTGCCCCTCAAAATTTGACCATCTAGTAGCGTTTTAAACCGGGGTGCCGCTAAAGAATTTTGATTATATTAAAATATGTATTCTAGAATAACGTCAACTAAATAAAAACACACTATCAGAAACCTCAAGTTGCCCAAACATTTATCCCTTTGGGCATTTTCATGAGGAAATACATTTCAGGGATAGTATAGTACCTTTTCCACGCGCGCTTTGCTTGCTCGCACAATTTGGAAGCGAGTAGTGTCAGGCAGTGAGGTCCATGAATATTCCCATATGATTATGACGATATTCTGGCATCTCGCTGTCCGAATATTGTCATGATTCCCACAGCATGGTGCCTGAACATAACCAAAGGTTATTTATTGCAATTTTATCTCGAAATGAAATTTATACCACAACAAAGTGGCAACGAGATGACCGAATTTGGATATTTTATCTAGTATATATTCATGAATAAATATCAAACATTTTGTCCACATCAAACGCGCCCCTTTTTGGGGGTCGCTCGCTTCGCCCGCTCGCAATATACTTTTTTTGCCCCCCCCCCAAAAAAAAACCATTTGTATCGATATTTGTCCAAAACTCAGGCCAAATTTTCAAACAGAATCAGTTGATGAGTGAGTTCTGACTTCCAAACTGAATATAGAAATGTGCGCTGATATCAGAACAATCAATCTCGTTGAATACATTAACGAAGGAGTAGTTCTACTGATTGAAAATACTGCCTTCGAGAGCTGAAAATTTTTGCCTGTCGCGGTATGGATCGATCTTGTGTTTTATTAGACCTTGAGAGGGAGCTATACAACATAAAAAGTTTATTACTTACAATTTCATAACTTTAGACTCGATTTCAACCGCGACAACGATCACTAAATATTGTAGGATCGCATATGCTTTCACTGATTTATGGAAACTGCCCCCTACCCTAGCCTCCGCTGCGTACAGTCATGGTTCAGTGACAAAACAATGGCCTCGTAACTGTGAGACCTCAGGATGAAAAACCGTGTCAGTGTGCTATATTAGTGCCCTTATGTGGGGCATTAATCCTCATTACTGTCATTTATGACTTGAGGGCGTAGGTCCCCAAGTTAATAAGCATAGTAGCATACACATGCTTTAGCAGTCCCGCAAAACACACATTGGCAAATTATTATTCAATTAAAATCTGAGAATGTATACTATTATCTAGATCTATTTTTTTAAATAATTTTTTTAATAATTCCATAAATTGGGGTAAAACTAAAATATTCTACCTTTATGAGCGACAGTGTATGTTGTCAAATTTAATGGAAGAAAATTAAATGTTCATTTGAATTGAATTGAATTGAATCCATTTAGTAAATAGTCTGATTTTCTGAGACCCTTGTACGAAATGGTCGTACGTTTTGTGATGCGCAAAGATTCAATCAGTTTAATTTTGGCCATTACAAGAAGTGGGTTATTGATGTAGACAAATGTGCATGTACCCTTTACAGCTCATTTTTGTATGTTATTACCAACGGAAAAAAAATCAATCAGTCACTCAGAAGTGTCAATAGCGAAAGTAGGTGGGTTTTCTTGCATAATTTGCAAACTAGTACACTGCTAACATTTAAATTTCACAGATAGGACATTATGTGACATATGCAAAGTTCTACAGAATTTGATGTTGGCTGCAAACGTGGCATAGTACCTTTAAATCAGTGGCGGATCCAGGGGGGCCCATCCCCCCCCCCCCCCCCCCCCCCCCCTTGGCCACAAAAAATAAGGGGGAAAAAGAACGAAAACAAAAAAAGAGAGAAAAAAAGAAGGAACAAAAAAGAAGGAAAGATTTTTGTTGGTGTGTGCTAGAGAAAGCAAAAAAAAAGAAAGAAGTGATTCACCTAGGGCCCAAAGTCAGGCACCTGGATGCTTATCTGACGGTAATTGAATGCCTAAAATCCCTGGACTCCTGGGGGCTCCGCCCCTGGACCCCACACCAATTAGTGACCTACCAGTGCCACAAATAAGGTATCAAAATATTCTCATCTGACCGTTATTAAATGCCTAAAACACCTTGACTTCCGGTGGCTCTGCCCCCTGGACCCCACCTAGGGCCCTAAGGCGGACGGCTGGATGCTAATTTGACGATAATTTAATGGTTTAAACCCATGAGCATCTGGGGTCTCGGCCCCCTGGACCTCACGCAAATTAGTGTCTTGCCAGTGTCACAAATAAGGTATCAAATTATGTTCATCTGACCGTAATGAAATGCCTAAAACCCCTAAGTTTCCGGGACTCCGCACCTCGACCCCACCAGGGGCCCTAAGGCAGGCCCCTGCATGCTTGTCTAACAGTTAAAATATGCCTAAAACTCCTGAGCTTCAGGACCCCACGCCAATTAGTGACCTGCCAGTGTCACAAATAAGGTATAAAATATACTCATCTGACGATAATTTAATGTATCAAACCCCTGAGCTTCTGGGGGCTCCGCCCCTGGACCCAACATAAATTTGTGTCCGGCCAATGTCACAAATAAAGTATAAAAATGCTCATCTGATCGTAATGTATTGCACAGAACCCCTGAGCTTATGGGGGCTCTGCCCCCCCCCCCGAACCCAACCAATGGCCCTTAGGCGGCCCTGGATGCTCATCTGACCGTAACAGTTGCCTAACACCCCTGAGCCTCCGCCCCCTGGACCCAACACCAATTTGTGTCCTGCCAGTGTCACAAATAAGGTATCAAAATATGCTCATCTGATCATAATTTATTGCCCAAAACCCCTGAGCTTCCGGGGGCTCCGCCCCCTGGACCCCACGCCAATTCGTGACCTGCCAGTGTCACAAATTAGGTATAAAATATGCTCATCTGACGATAATTTAATGTATAAAACCCCTGAGCTTCTGGGGGCTCTGCCCCCAGGACCCAGAACCAATTTGTGTCCGGCCAGTGTCACAAATAAGGTATCAAAATATGCTCATCTGATCATAATTTATTGCTCAAAAACCCCTGAGCTTCCGGGGGCTCCGCCCCTGGACCCCACGCCAATTCGTTACCTGCCAGTGTCACATATAAGGTATAAAATATGCTTATTTGAAGGTTATTCAATGTATAAAACCCCTGAGCTTCTGGGGGCTCCGCCCCTGGACCCCACACCAATTTGTGTCCTGCGAGTGTCACAAATTTATTAGGTATCAAAATATGGTCATCTGACAGTAATTAAATGCCTATACCCCCTGAGCTTCTGGGGGCTCCACCCCTTGACCCCCCGCCGAGAAACGTTCAGCGGAACCTGCATGTAAGAGCCGGGGTGATGGGGATTTTTTTTTGTCTACCCCCCCCTCCCCCCCCCCCCCCCCCCCCCCCCCCCCCAAAAAAAAAAAAAAAAAAAAAAAAAAAAAAAAACGTTTTGCCACTGCCGGTGTCACCAAAACGTACCAATGTTTGGCTCGCATAATTTTAAATTTGGCCCCCCCCCCTAAGAAATCATGGATCCGCGCCTGCTTTAAACAACAGTCATATAAGGTCATTGTCTTCATAGGCATGACTCGCTTTTTAGCACATATAATAACGAAATCGAAATGATACCTCATGCGCCTCGTGGGCAATCTTAAGCTTTGTCACAAGCTGAATTCGGGAGGCCCAAGAAATGTGTGAAATTTAGCCAATACGATCAAACCAATTCAGCTCCACTTTAAACAAAATACGGTGACCTTTAATTAATTAATCAATTAATCATACCTAACAATACACAAGCCAGCTTGTGCGAATACAACCAACAACAAACCCCCGCACCCCCCAAAAAAAAAACAACAACAACAACAAAACAACAAAAAACAGCATCGTCATTGGCTGGAATAAAACGTATAACGGCTAGTACAAATTATCAAACATTTGTGGTACACCACAAATATTAGAAATCGTTACATTTATGGATATTTCAGCCGTCTCTAAACCGATTCCGATCAATCAAAGATGATTTTGTCATCTAAATTGTATGGTGTTTGAAATGTGACACTCAGCTTTTCATTATCTCACATTTTGTGTAGCGCCCTCTGCAACAATCAATAATCAAATGCTCGTTGCATATTTGTTCTGTATTCACATTATTTTGTTGAAGGTCCGATATTTAGTGTCACTTAAAAACATTATGTCTCCCTGTTTCATATACCTACTCTATCCTCCTCTACTTCTGTTGTCAACCCAATATAAACAGTTTTCCCAATCTCAAGATATCATACTTGTGTGAATTCCATATTCCCCCCCCCCTCTCTCTCTCTCTCTCTCTCTCCCTCTCTCTCTCTCTCCTCCTCTCTCTCTCTCTCTCTCTATATATATATATCCCTCTTTCTCTCTCTCCTCCTCTCTCTTTCTATCCCTATTTCCCTCCTTCTCTCTCTCACACCTTCTTTCTCCCCCCCCCCCCCCCCCCCCCCTCTCTCTCTCTCCCTCTCTCGCGGCCTTCTCTTCCCCCTTTCCTTTATTTTCCAAGAAAAAATGAACGTTGATAAGGAGGAAAATATTGATAAACATTGTCAGACAATAAAGTATGATAATATATATATATATAGAGAGAGAGAGAGAGAGAGAGAGAGATGGGGGGAACGATTATTTGTGTTATCATTCATAGCGTAATGTTGAAAAACGGATTTCACCATCAAGACAAATAAGTGCAATCAAATCATTATTTTTCTACGATGATCTATTTAATAAATTAAACAATTTGTCTATGAGCCGTGAACGTTACAAATATATGTCAATCTTTATGACACATAGCTTTACTTTGATTACAGGAGACAAACTAAATTTAACAACTAAACTTTAAATAACTTATCAAAGCATTCCACTTTTAGCCCCTCCATCTGCTTTTCTCCCTACATTCCCTCGCCTTTCCTTCCTCATCTCTAAAGTTATCTGAGATTTTAAGAAAGTACATTAACATACATTGTGTTGCTTTCTATTGTAACGATGATTTTACAACGAATTCTAATAATATACAGTACACATACAATGTACAAAGTCATGTAAATAGACATTAATCGTGTGAATGCTTACCCGCTTACTACATATAGGCCTATCGCAGTTCATAATGTTCGTATGCTGCAACAAGTATGAGCATTCCTCTAATACACTATCTTTCATGAGAAGAGGAGGTACCATACATACTATACTATATTATATCCTGCATCAACAATTTATTGGTTTTTGATTGGTTGAGAGCTCTTCACGTGACCAGAAATATTTCAACCATTTTAAGGTTGCTCTGAAAAAGTACTATTTGGTAGTAGAAGAACTACTTTGGAGTACTATTTGGGAGTTTAAAAAAAATACAATTCTTTTTAAAAATTATTTTTATCACAACTATGACATTTTAAATTTAAAAAATGTAAGTGATAATGTTTTTCTCATTTCAATGACCTTTATTGAATTCCAAAATGTTTAAAACGCTTAAACATTAAATTTCAATAATTTGCTTTTGTTTTTGATGCAAGATATATAACATTTATACCAATCCTTCTTTTCGAGGTGCTGGTTAAAACTATATGCCTCTATGACTCAAATACATGTAGTACCATAGTTTTAACTAGAACCTATCAAGCCAGTGTTTATTTGTATACTATACTTTATACTATATTTACACATACTATAGTGATACCATGATTCCCGTTATGTTAGCTTATGTGAACATACTATTCAATAAATCTAATTTACGTTTGATAAAAATTCTATTCAGTTAATGTTTTAGACAAAATACCAGATTGTCACCTCCTTTCATGAAGATGTTTGTTCCAAAGAAGATTCAGATACGTAATCACATTAAATTGATAATCAAAGAAGTGGTTTGATCAAATTAAAAAAAAAAAATAACAGTAATATTTACGTTTTTTGAAATTATGTTGAGTTAATTATGTACCCCCAATCAGGTTTCTGATTTGAGATTCCAAATAAAAGGCATCTTATATTTAAAACTTTTATAACTTTCTCGTTGTTTGTCCGATTTATTTCAAACTTTCGCTATTTCTCTTATTTTTCTGCTTTCACATAAGTGAACAATTAAGGTACGTTCAGATATGACGCGGTAATTTAACTGCGGAGGTGTAAATGAATGACATGCAACTGCGCGCAACAAAAGACATTTGCATATTCATTGGGTTGTGTGTTATGATGTACATTAATGTGAAGCGTATTACACATTACGTCAATATTCACAATCACACGGTATGCAATCGTAGACTACTGTGATGTACTTGGCTATATCCTGACAGGGATTGCCGCCTAAAGCGGCACTGGTCGTAGGAATGTCACAAGTTACCATGCCGTTACACAGGTCTTGGACCTCTGGCTGGGCTGTCGTCGAACGACAGTTGTCTTCGTTTAAACGATTTGGATTAGTAACACCATCACTACAAGTGGTCATATCACGACGGCCAAAATCAGCGCTGACGATATTTATCGTTTGGTCATCTTCACAAGAGATAGCAGCTGCATCATCACCTGCACATCGAGTTATGGTGGCTACACAGGTACATGCAGCGATAGAGGAAGAGAGGGAGAGAGAAAGAGAGAGGGAAAGAGGGAGGGAGAGAGAGAGAGTTATTCTACACCTCTTTGATTCTGAGTTTTTAATTTACTGTTGGGAAAATTGACATGATGACTTGCTAGAAAAGAAAGTTTGTCTTTCTTCTTTTTCTTATTTTGCAAGGTGAAACTATCCCTTGTAATAAATGTTGTAAAAGATCATAATTTTAAACTTTAAGCATGATGGCAAAATAATCATTATAAGCAAAATTGCAGTCACTATTCTTTTCAGTCTTGATTTTTATGTTATTGTCTTATTTACCCCATTTGTTGTGTATAAAAATGAGGGCTTTAATTTTGACTCATAGACAGAAAAGCACATAGTCTTTTGATCTGAAATGTTGTACATACTTTCATGAACCCATCTTGCTGCAGCAGATAGTTTTAAGATAACTTTCTTTAATGGCAAGTATAGGTGAATAAAAGGTGGCTTGGCGTAATTACTATACATGTATATCGGTGTGTGTTATAAGATACAGATATCTAAAGCGTGACGCGCCATTCCTTGTTTTCTTCAGTAACTCACTGCTTATCTAGCTGCTCTTTTGGATTTAGCATCAAGTCCTCTTCTATGCGAGGTTGCAATAATTATGTTTATAAGACGGGTTCTAGAATCTAAGCAATCCGATTGGTCAATTGACATCACGTGGGCGTGTATTAGTGTTTCCCATCGTGCAAAAAAGCTCCCATCAAAAATTGATAACACACGCTCGATACCTAACGCATTGATTTGTTACATTACATTGTAAATTGATTTATATGTTTATAAACAGAATATTGATGTACATCAATGAAGTTTAATTAATACAATACAATACAATACAAGTTGACGATCAGATGGCGCTGTGCAAAAAACGGTACGGTAGGGCATGAACTTCACCAGTTCAGTATCGCTCTGTTTCACATTAGGCAAAATTTCGACTTCATTGTTACCAGCGCTTATTAGTGCTGTGAAGGAAATAACCACAAACGCCAGAAATTCCTTGTTTGCTCTGTACATGTTATAATAGTTTTTTTGTTTGTTTATCAATTTTGTTTGTTCACGATATCACCATGGCATGCCGCATCAAAGACCATATAAGTCGCTATCGCAGTCCTAGGTCGCGGTAAATAGGAACTTTTAGATTGAGTGGACGAGAAGGGCGTGGACGTCCACTGATCATGTGTGTCCATGGCAAGCCGTTTTAACATTTATTCCTATTTCTTGATATCAAGAAATGATTTTCTGTTGTAAAGCAATGGTAATTCTTGATATCAAGAAATAGGAATAAATGTTAAATCGGCTTGCCATAGACACGCATGATCAGTGGACGTTCACGCCGTTCTCTTCCACTCAATCTAAAAGTCCCTAATAACTCCTTTGTGCAACGGGCCAACGGCCATTACTTACATCTTTCTATCTCGGCACTGGACTCTGAGCTTGAAGACGAGCTTGCATCCGAGCTTGATCCTGAGCTTGAAGAAGAACGCTTGTTACGCTCAAGGACAGCCTTTCTTGCTTGACGTTCAGTGAAATCGTCGTCGTCATACACCAGTCCCCGGCCCCCGGCTAAAATTTTAGTCAGAAAACAAAACGTACAAGTATGTTTTTTCCTATAAGTATTCATAAGTAATAACGTGAGACGATTATTATTTGCTATCCATGTAACATGAATGTAGGGGAGACCGGGGAAAATTATTGGCTTGAATCATGACTAGGTTTGGGTTAAGTAAAACAGGTTATTTTGATCATTTCAAACCCGGAAGTCAAGTGTTGCAATTGCCCCACAACACGGGGCTATTGTAACACTCCCATGGGGCAATTGTAACACACAAATGGGGCAGTTGTAACCACATTTAAATTTTACTTTGTTTTATTATTTTATAAAACCAAGTAAAAAATAATTTTAATAAAAACCGTGACAAATGCTTGACTCATTTACATTACGGTATACTTTTTCCAGTAACATGGGGACAATAATAGTTATTACGTTGTTACGGTTGCCCCCCCCCCCCCGAGGAGGGCGGCCATATTTTTGTTGTATCTTAGCATTAGTATTCGTCGTTGAAACTTCCGCCAAATACAGGCCTAAAAACTAATTTTTTGACCATATGAAAATGACAGTGATAGCTCAAGCAAATATTTGTCGAGACAAAAAATTAGGTAATTCAAGATTTTACTTCCGGGTTAAAAAAATGTTTGGGTGTAAAAAGTTCATCGATGTGTTGACCTCCCTTCCCCTAGGACAGCGTGTGGGGCAATGAAATGCGCATGCTCTGTGAGAGCGTTTGTATATAGCACTTTAATACCCTTTCACATCTATTTTTCTTAACCCCGGACTATCCTTAACCCCATACTATCCTTAACCCCATACTATTTTTTTTGCTGTTCACATCTATTTCTTAACCCCGGACTATGTGCTTAGCCGGGGTTAAGAAATTTCACGCGATTCACACTACGTTCGCCTTAGCCCCGGACTATTCGATAGCTCATGAATATTAATGCTTTTGCTACCGCGCATGCGCCTTTCGACTAAATGAAGGGGAAAAACCCGCGTAAAAGACTAAACGTCAATACAGAGAGCATGCATGCGTAACGTGAACTGCATGCATAGCGCGCGATAAATGCAAATTCACGACCACACGACCACGCTGTCTGTGATTGGCTGTTGCTTAGCCCCGCTTCTCCTTAGCCCGGTTCGGATTCACACTACGCAGCTTAGCACCACAATTGCCCGGCTAACCCCGCAATTGCCCGGCTAACCCTGCTATTTTGCAGGGCCAGATAGTCCCGTACTATTTGTGGGGTTAGCCCACTTTGGCAAAACGTAATGTGAACAGAAAGCCGGCTAAAATTACCCCGGGTAATTGGTGGGGCTAAGGAAGGAATAGGTGGGGCTAAGAGCCCCCTTAGCCCCACCTATTTCCCGGGGTTAAGCAATATTTGGTAGATGTGAAAAGGGTATTATACTAGTATAGGGAGGAAGCCTCTGTTACATTTGCCCCGTATAACATTTTTCCCCGGTCTCCCCTACCCAATGTATAAATAATTATTTACATGATCCGAATGTTCCATTTGTATAAATACACCGTACATAAAACATGCTTACTATAACAGGGTTGCATGGCATTTTTTGTTTTATTGACACCCCCCCCCCCCCTCTCTCTCTCTCTCTCCCTCTTTCTCTCTCTCTCTCTCTCTCTCTACTTATAAAGAAGGGGTGGGATGAGGTGGGTGGAGATTTGACAACTTGAAGAAAAAAAGATTCCCAGTATTAGTAATTAGCCGGCAAATTTGATTAGAAATCCCCCTTCCAAACCGATCTAGCGACATGCAGACATTTAGACCAATATCATGAGAAAAACTGCTACCTTCATTTTTGCACGAACAAAGCAACATTAAACAAAAAATTAAAGGCTTCAAGGATCGTCTCCGGTTTAGCGTTGAGGGTGTATTATTTTCTCATCTGATTGGGCGCGCGACACGGAAACAGTCCAGGCAGTTGACTAGATAAACAGGTGAAAATGAGGCAAAACCTTAACATATATATTATAATTATAGTGCCTTCTTCACTTCGGGATGCAGAGCGTAGTAACCCTATATATGCTAAGAAATGATGTAGCTAATTGACATAATTTGTGACAGGGGATACATACGGACTAGTTTATTAAAATATAATTGAATCGGAGTGAACTTCCTGACAGTAAAATAACGGACTAATTAGACAAATTGACTTACCGCTTCTTCCATGCACCATCATTTGGCCCATCATAAGGCACGTTAAAGCCAGAAAAACGACCGTAAACCTGAAAAGCGCCATCTGGGGTTATGTGCATGGAGGTAAAAATAATATACAGTACATTCAAATTGATGGTCCATTTATTCTTGTCCACAAATGTGAAATTATGGCGTTCACCAGCAAAAATAGGCAATACAGAAAATCAAGACAGAAAGATGAAACTACAATAGAAACCCATACACAATTATATAAATGCGAACAACCAAACCATTATCATCTGTTCACATAACAAAAGAGGTCTAACTTATCGCAAAGACTTTTGACAAATCTCAATAGCCTTGTTCGTCACCTTTTGAAATGTGCGGACCATCAACCGCTTCAAATCCAGACTTGAGAACTGGTGGAAAGAAGCCCCAGATAAATATGATGACAACCCAAACCAAAGAAAACCATGGATAGGAACAACAGTCTAAAGACTGAATAATCCTGGATCAAGTAACTTACAAGTGAGTTATTACAGTGATGAATTTCATAATCGGAGTTTGATTTTATATGTATTATTTAATACAGTTATCTAAAGTCTTTGCACATATTGAAATAGAAATCCTTACTTTTCAGCAAGGACTACAGCAAGAGATTTGTGAAAATGTGAGCGAATTCGGATGAACAATTAGAAATTTAGCAATTTTTACAGAACTTGTGTAGGCCTAATTTCTAGAAATGTCACCTTGAAGTTTTTCATGATCATGTTACCCGGTACAAATAGCGTACAATTACAGACCATCTTTCTTATCCGCATATTGAGTTGCCCCTACACAAACAAAATTGGCTGAAATTAGAGTTTTCCTAAATTTCACCACCAAGCAGTATATTCTATCGGAAGATGTGTATTGTAACGTGATGAATTTAATCAATTTGAGAACGTACAACGTTTCAATGAAGTTTTTACGTTCCTACAGAGGAACAACCATATTTGAAGTTCGAATTTTATTTGTTCCACATTTACATAAAAACAATTCGGTAACTAACATAAATAAAGAGTAATATTAGATAGCTTAGACAGATACCGAGATGTGATTGGTCCAGAGCTCGTCACGTGATATCAATTGCGAGGATCCAAATTATATTTTAGCAGCTGGTGAAATGAATATATTTTTAATCAATGCATGTCGTCCTCTTGAGGACTGTATGTCACCGATTACACACATTACACCATTACCGAGGGTCTTTTTTTTTTTTCTTTTTTTTCCCCCTTGAAATTATTTTTTCCACATTTTCTTTTTTTCCCAAAAAATGTTTTTATTTTTTTCGATTTTTTTTTCCTTCCTGAAAAATGCTTTTTGGGGGGTAAGAATTTTTTTTTTTCCAATTTTTTTTCTTTCTTGAATTATCTCGACAGATTATTATTATTATTTTTTTTTTGCACTTCTTTTTCTAAAATTGTGATTGTCCCCGAAAAAGAATATGAAAAAAATTTCGGGCAAAAAAAAAAATGGACCCCCCCCCCCCTACAAATAAAATCAAACCAAGGCTATCTAATATAACAGTTATTGACTGGCAGGGGGTATATAACATTCTTTGGACCTGAAGGGAGTTTTATTTTCCCTCAGCGCTGCGCGCTTCGGGAAAATATAACCACTTGGTTAGCGGTCCAAATAATGTTATGTTACACCCCCTGCCAGTCAATAACTGTATAATGTATGGTCAAGAAGCAAGGTGTTTCGAGGACAATGTAAATACAATATATTAGGACGGGAGAGTTAAGAATCAAGGACAAAGAAATAATGTGCGTTATGTTCTAAGTGATATTTAGCACTATTTCATAGAGCCTATATGAGGAAAGCTACCCTCCAAATTTCCCGGACAAATATCCTTAGACAACTACCCCAAGGACAGCTGCCCCTAGGACAATTATTCCCAGACAACTACTCCATCGTAAGAGTAATGTCACCAAAATTGCTTTTGACTGAGATACTTTTCCTATAAGAGGATATTCCGAGGTAACTGTCCTCGGTGAAAAGTTGTCTTAGGGATCATTGATCGGGAGAAACTGTCATGGATCGTAGTCAATGAAGTATTTCAGAATCGTAATTTTAAAAACTTGTGAGAAATACAATAATGAATTGCCGCAGTGAGTGACCAGAAGATAAATACTGAGTGAATGAACAGAGTTGGAAGTGATTTCCTTTTTGTTATTCTCGTTTTGAAAAAATACGCGATGAGTAAAAAAAAAAAAAAAAAAAAAAAAAAAAAAAAAAAAAAATTGGAAGAGGCGTGGTACTGCATTATTCAGATCACAACCTCGCTGAAAATGATGTGACACACAACTAGAGTTATATTTTGTACACTTTCCACTATTTCTAAAATAGGCCTACGACTGTTGAGGTGCTTTCCAATTTGGTTTGCTTTCAGTAGAAACGTAAGCTCGCATGTGGTAAACAATTAGTTTTCATACTCTTAATTCATGCGACTCTATAATACATTTGACTTTAGTCTCCTGTACTGATTACTCGTTTGCTACTTGGGATATTAAAAAGAAAGGATATGTCCCCATCACAAAAATAAGAGGAAGAATAATTGCCACTTTATCAATGAAGAACGGCAACGTAATTTTTACATTTAAAAAAGAAGATGTATATATATATCATATGCAATATTCCAGATTTTTGTTCACCTTCAATAAGACTTAATCCCATTTTAAACCTTTTCCTCACTAATATGTCGCAAAAAAGAAGAAGTGCGCTTCACATGAAGAAAGCAATATAATATAACGTTACCTTGCTCTTTTGAAAAGTCAGATGGATGAAAACCTCTGAAAAGTGTGACAGCAGGCTAGGGGAAATCCGAAGAGAATCGAAGATGAGGAGGATAGACCAGCAAAGATTCGACGAATGGTGAGATGCTCATGCCGACAACCCTTAAATAAGCATCAATGAGAAATATGCACCCCACCCCCCCCCCCCCCCCCTTCTCTCCCCTGAAACCACAAAGTGCGCATATTAACCTTCGCCTAGGTTAATAGCCACAAACTATATTCGAAATTAAAAACATATTTTTTGGGGGGCGTTATATTTGTTTGCATATTCTGACAGCGTGAATCATTATTTCCTCATCACAATCTCTCGCTTCGCTGGATTTCGTGTGCAAACTTGTTTTTCACGGTCATAGCCTGTTACTTTGGAAACTTTAAATTTTGAAACAAAGGTAGTAATTTAGCTAATACCTTTTTTTACTTGGAGGAAGGTCACTAATGTAGCATATTATCTAACCATCAGTAAACTGTAATTGCGTCGGTTTCAGTGCCAGAAGGATTTTAATGAAATGTTAAATGCATGTTATCCGTTTAACGCCCCCTCTGTCTCAAGGCCGACCGTCATTTTTTCTATAGAAGGCCTCTAGTCAACCAAAAGGTATTAACAAAAAACAAGCCTTGTTAAATGATAGCTTTCATATCGATTTCATGGCGTACCGACTCTTGATAACTTATCAATGAATGAATAATTTAATACTCCATTAATTTATTTATAAAGTACTTACTTTCTTATCGATTTATGTATTCAGTCATTTCTCTATTCACCTGTTTGTTCATTTGTTTAGTTTTCTGTTTATATTTGTAGGCATTTTTACATGAACATTATATCATTTTGATTTTACTACTTTGTATGAATGGAACGGAGAAAGAATCACTCGAAACTACTTTGAAATTGACAGATTCTGTATAACTTATTAATTATGTAATTGACACATTAACTTACCTATGTATTTATTCATCTATTTAGTTATTTAATTATCCACTCATACGTTTGTTTAATTTTTAATTTTGTCTTAGATATTCATTTCTAAAGCTATTTATTTATTCTGTCATTTATTTGTGTATAAATAAGTAATGGATTGAATACAAAGGCATCTGTACGCAAATGTTAATTTTTAAACTACTTTACTTAATGTAACTTATAAAGGATTACTCGAACTGGTACTCGAACTAAATCTCCATCTGAAAAATCTTTTCACACTCTGTCCTTGGGTATTATATTTGTTTGATGATGATTGTTTTGACTGCTAAGAAAGCATGTATATGTTTGCAAGTAAACAACCAGGGGGATTTAATAATGGGGATTTATGCTTTACCAAAAGGCACGAACGTATTGACTTGGTTTCGAACCCGGGCCCTCCCGGATACGAGAACACTGCTTTACCACTGAGCCATCGCGTCTAGTAGACGTCTTTATATTATTGTGTCGTTTAAGAAAATGCAACCTCCAATCCAAAGGTCCAACAATCTGAACTGATCAATATCTATAGCGTACATCCGACTGGTTTCAGAATATGCCGCCCCCATCGGGTCATCGGCAATCACTGCACAACAAGCTTTTGATCTATTATAGAGCTCTGAACAGAAGAGGGTCTGTCGTGTAATCCTTAGATACACTATACAGTGCGTCCCAGAAAAAAACGAAACCGAGAAGTATCGATGCTTTATCAGTATAACCTACACAGTGGTTGATTATGTTAAGCACACATCAAATTGTGATAAATATTTACTTGTCCTTCATCCGCACAAGGATATCTAATTAAAACAATTATTAATACAAAATCACAAAAGAATCATCTTAACTATTGTTCATTTCACCAACGGATTTTACCGCAAACCTCTGCAAACAGAGAATTCCGACTAAACTGACGAATTGATTTAATTCATGAAGATTCAATATTTACGAGTCTGATTTTGTGTCATTATTTTAAAGAAAAAATGTTGAATAACAGTGTATTTTCTGTCTCGTCATTTAAACCATTTCTTTTCAAGGCCGGGGAAATGTACACATTCAACAATCGTGGTTATATTGTTTTGTGATTGGCCTCTTCAGATGGATTTGTCAAACCGATGTTTATTCACATTCTGGTGTATTGGAAACAAACATAAATTATATTTGTTAATTTAATCATAATAGAAACATACTCAGTAACTGATGAATACCACTGCAACACGCTCCTTACGAAATCCTTATGTAAAACATTCATTATCACGTCATCATTGCATCATCATTATTATATCAAATCGTCGATGGTTTTCTTAAAATGAAGGCAGATTAATAAAGATGATCGACATGCAGTATAACCTCCATAAACGCATTGCACATCGCGTACTCAAAAATCGTTGGATAGTACTGGAAACTTTTACACTTTTTCATTTTAAAAAACATGAAGACTTTTGTTGGAATAGGCTCAGTAAATGAATCCCACGTGACCTCGTTTGATCAATCGTTTGATTAGGATCTACGAGTATATTTTTGTATTATCTAAAATGCACAGGCAAACTCGGACTTCTCCATATTTAAAATGTCTGTGGGTATTTGGAGGTCATTAATTTTTACATGTGGCGTCTTTGCAATGGCATATTGTTATAAAACTAATCGGACATGCAGCTAAAATCTGACACTGTTAAAAGTACAGAAATTCATGGCACGAATGTAAATTGATAGTCACATTGTAGTGACATCAAACGTATGATAAGAATGAATGAATTAATGAGTATAATAGTGTATCATTATGGAGCTAAGAAATAGCACGTTAAATGTCTGATACCAACATAATCACGTATATTTTAGGAGTCAATAATCTATTTCAGTGTAGTTTGTGTTTCCCATGATGGTATAGGCCTATCAAGAATCTAAATTGAGGGTTCACGAGACCGAACGTCCTCCAAACCGGCAAGTCGGTCTCGTAGTTTGTGGGCCATCGGTCTCGTCAGCTGTCGGTCTACTGAGGTGCCCCCATTCATGTGGGTGTTGCCCCTCATGACAAGTAGCTTGGACCTAGTGCTTTCAACAACAATGTAGAGGTGTTGTGGTCTTACGGATAAGTCACCGGACTGTGAACCACCGGGTACGGGTTTCGAGTCCTTGCCGCAACGTCCTTTGACAACATATTAATCTACATTTGCTACACTCGACCTAGGTGAGGTCAACGGGTACTTAAACTCCTTTAAATGATCGAGCGCCAAAATGGCAGCCATGCTAATGCCGATCGAGGTCGCGTTTGGAGAGCGAAGAGTGTCAAGTTTGAAAGATGGTTCTAGGACACCTACCCCCTGGACAACCACCCCGGATAACCACCCCCAGTCATTTCCCCCTAGCACAACTACCCCTAGGACAACAAACCTCTAGGGCAACCGCCCTCTAGGACGACTACCCACTAGGACAACCACCCCTGGACAACTATCCCCAGACAACTACCCCTAGGACAACTTCCCCCTAGGACAACTAGCTCCGGAAAACTACCCCCGGAAAACTACCCCCGGACAACAACCCCCTACGACAACCATCCTCTAGGACACCTACCCCCGGACAACTATCCTAGGGGGTAGTTGTCCGGTGGTTGTTGTCCGAGGGGAAGTTGTCCTAGGGGGAATTATCTTGGGGTAGTTGTCCTAGGGGATAGTTGTCCTATATAGGGGGTAGTTTTCCTAGGGGCGGTTGAATGGGGGTGGTTATCCGGGTTCGGATGTCCAGGGGGTAGGTGTCCGGATACGTTGAAGGACACGAGCGCGATACAAGAACCCATTACCAGTATTATTATAATTTTAAGGAATGGTTGATATCGAGTACACCAAACGTTTCGCCGGAGAAAGAATTGGGGAAACTAAAAATCCTTTAGCCCTTCCCGATTGACGCGGTTGGCAGTGATTGTGCAATAAATTCCAATATTGATTTAAACTGACGTCAAATGTTGCTTGGCAACACAATGGAAAAAAGAGGTTACACTTTGGAGCACAACCCATTTTAATGTCGACAAGGTCATAAGCAGTTTTGCGCGAAACGCCCCCTCATGCTTTTGTTCTGCGCCGCTTTAAAAATAACATTAACACATGACAGCTGTGTAAATAGTGTAGTAACAATTTTTCCTGGTATTGTTGAAAATATGATATTATTAATGACAGGCTCAGCGATTTACAATGCATTGTTCCATTCGCTTGATCACCGAAGCCGGACAATATATTCAAGTACCACGAAAACGATAATATACACGAACATCTAGAAAGATTCGCTTGATAATAACAATAATCATGGTGACATCTGTACTGCGCACATGCCGGTCATGTCGTGATGCTCCTATTAAAGGTAAAGACCAGTATTGGTAACGCCCCAATTTCAAAAAATGAAATGGAAGCTCTCATTACCAATCATGTGAAAGAATATGTTTTGACTAATACATGATGATAAAAAATTTGCCGGGAAACCGCCTACTGATTCATATATTTGGTAAATTTATTTCTCTCATGGTCGTGTGAGAGAGATAGGGTAGTCCCATATACATCTTTCTGTGTATAGTGCTTGTAACTTTACGAAGAATGGGCCAAATTTCTTATCATTTTGATGATTCCAGAACCTTGCAGATGCTAGATGCTAGATGATCAACCTTTTCTGATCGATTCCACAACGTTTCTTTCACAATGCAATCGCATGACCATTACTGGTCTTTACCTTTAACCTGGTCAGAGCTGACGACCAAAGGACGTCAGTGCCGGACTGGGATCGAACCCTTGCCATTGATGGTTTCCTTGTATCGTTCTATGATAACTATATAGGGTCAAGCTCGCTATCCATAAGGATTAAGGACCGCTATTCATAAGGACCGCTATTCATAAGGACTATTATGAATCATGAAGGACTGTAATTCATAAGGACCGCTATCCATAACGCGGAACAAAATGAATAGCGGTCCTTTATAAATAGACCAAAGCACAGCCAAGATCTAAAATAAATTATTCATCAATTATAAACAATTTCAGATAAAAACTATATCTTTGGTAGCAGACATAAACTAACCGTACATCATACTGGATGTCAAAGAGGAGAGACAAGAGAGAGAAAGAAAGAGAGAAAGAGAGAAAGGGAGAAAGGAATAAAGAGAGAGAGAGAGAGAGAGAGGGGGGGGGGGGAGAGAGAATGGAATAGAGGAACAGTTCAGTGTGAGATGATACATATACAATTACATTCAAAACATTGCTTTGTAATAGACATTATTATTATTGCACCTGTGCTTAGTACTGTAACATAACATATGAAACAATAATATGCATGCCAAAAAGACAAATGTATGCTAGTACATTTTCTCTTTGAAATTCAGATACCGTCCGCCAAATGATTTTTTGGTTTCCTCTCTTCAAATTCATTTTAATCACTCATGAAATATGCATTATATGAGTTGCATCAAACGGAGGAAGAGGATCTAAGCTTTACAAATAGGTGTCATTCATTAATTATAATCGTGATTAAGTTATGATAAAACATCGATGATTCTCGGTTTCGTTTTTTTCTGGGACGCACTGTATAGAGAGAGAGAGAGAGAGAGAGAGAGAGAGAGAGCGAGAGAGAGGGAGAGAGAGAGAGAGAGAGAGAAAGAGAATGAGAAAGAGACCGAGAATGAGAGGGTATGAGAAGTACTCGGGATATGAAAATGTTACTCATCTACATAAATTGTTGTTAAATGCTTTCATTGCACTTGGGAGAAAGGACCTGCCGAACCTATTAGTTCTTATTCTAGGTAGCCTAATTCTTCCTGATCTATTAAAGACCACTTGCCTATGTAGCTTAGCCAATAGGGACTTTTAGATTTGCACGTCGACATAGTGGACTGCTACGTGTGACTTCCTTATAAGGCACTGACAGTACCTTAAACGGACGTCACATTGTCTTAACAGGACGTCACACGTAGCAGTCCACTCTGTCGACGTGCAAATCTAAAAGTCCCTAATAATGCCCTTTCTGCAACATCTTCAAGCTCCTTCACGGAGACCCCAATTACTCTGCTGGCATGTTTCACTATCCTAGCCAACTTTGCTTTGTTTTCCCACTATTAAAGGCTGTTAAACCAGGCTAGACAGCAGAAACAGATGACTGACTGAATGACACATGGTAGAACAGAAACATTGTTTCATTTTTCACATGTAATGCTTCCATCTTTCTTAGAAAATACATACGCTGGTTACCCTTGCTTTGTATTACCTTGGTATTGCTATCCCACTTCAGTTTGTTATCAATTACAATTCCTAGGTATTTACATTCAGCCACCTGTTGTATGGCTTTTCCCCATCAATGTACAGGGGCACGTTATTTGTGCCAACGTTTTTTCTGTAGTCAAAGATCATTTCATGAGTTTGTGTGGCATTTAATAGAACATATGAATTCTTTTCGTTCCAAGAAGCAAACTTTATCAACTTACTGTATCCCCATGTGCAACCTCAGCGGTGTTGGTGATCAAGCCAATGATACAAGTATCATCTGCATACTTTACTACGTGACAAGATGAAGCAGTCGAACAAGAGAAATCACTAGTAAGCAAGGTGTAATGGATGGGCGAGAGCAAACTTCCTTGTGGAGTGCCTGTGGTAAGTCGTCTATCTTGGGACATAACATCTCCAAAATGTACTTGTTGCACCCTGTTTGTCATGAAATCCCTTAACCATTGACATAATTTGGGATTCACAACACCAAGGTTCCAGGAACTGTCGTATTAAATGCAGAAGAGAAGTCTACAAATAACACCTACTTACCTACCTACATGTACCTACATTGTACATACGTACGTAGAAATTTAGTTGTAGTACCTGCCTAAAAAGTCCACCTGTCCACAGTGGCCTTTATAGACAGGTTTGACAGTATATGTCAGGCGCGGATCCAGGATTTCTTAGGGGAGGGCGCCGGCCGAAAAGTTGCTCAGTGGGGGGGGGGGGGGGGGGGGGGGGGGGGGGGGGGGGGGGGGGGGGGGGGGGGAATAGTGAGCACTATTTTTTTTTTTTTTTTTTTTTTGCTCCCGAAAATTTGAAAATCGCGCCGGCCGTGGGGGTAGTGCATGAGCACATTTTTTTTTTTTTTTTTTTTTTTTTGGTCCTCAACATTTTTTAAATTTGCACCCCCCAAAAAAAAAATCTGTGCCTGATACCCTTGAGTGGCCTTTATAGACAGGTTTGACAGTATATGTCAGGCGCGGATCCAGGATTTCTTAGGGGAGGGCGCCGGCCGAAAAGTTGCTCAGTGGGGGGGGGGGGGGGGGGAATAGTGAGCACTATTTTTTTTTTTTTTTTTTTTTGCTCCCGAAAATTTGAAAATCGCGCCGGCCGTGGGGGTAGTGAGCACATTTTTTTTTTTTTTTTTTTTTTTTGGTCCTCAACATTTTTTAAATTTGCACCCCCCCCCCTTGAGCGCCAGGGGGGGGGGGGGGGGCCCAACCCCCCAAAAAGGTAAAAATTTCGTGTTTTTACATGATTTTTTTCTCAAGGGGGGGGGGGGGTCGGGCAAACCTCCCCCCCCCCCCCCTGGATCCGCCACTGGTACATGTATCTGGTCAAAATCTGTGCCTGATTCCCTTGGTTGGCCTTTATAGACAGGTTTGACAGTACATGTATCTGGTCAAAATATGTGTCTGATTTCCCTTGGTTGGCCTTTATAGACAGGTTTGACAGTACATGTATCTGGTCAAAATCTGTGCCTGATTCCCTTGAGTGGCCTTTATAGACAGGTTTGACAGTACATGTATCTGGTCAAAATATGTGCCTGGAAATACCAGAAACATTCATGAGGCCTCCAAGATTAATGGGAGAATAAAGATCGTTCTTCTTTTTCCTTAAAAACTATTTGTTCCTTCTTTGGAATTCTTTGAAATGACCATGAATTATTAGGAGCAACAATTCATATAATATGATGTAAAATATATACGTATCTATCCGAAATCTTTGTCCCTTCGACTTAAACCAGTAGGGTTTTTTTCTTCTCACCTACCCCGAAATTTTGAATACAAACCCCATCAGTGACTTTATGAAAAATAGATGCATACTGCTTGATAAAAACTTGATGCTGATATGCTCAATGTTCATAGTGATGTTGATATTGGTAAGCATTGTGTTTATGATTTGTCGCATTCTTGGTCCATATCAACAAAATAGTATCTAACAATGCCACCTTGGACCGTTTGTTCATCATATGATAATAATCATGATAATGACATGAAAGAACAAGATTGGAATTGATTTCATTAGCAAACGACAATTACTCTTTGATCTTTTAAGGTAATTATATGAATGAAAGACAATGCCATTTGTACCTGTAATCCGTACATCATAACATATCCAATCGCTGCAGCTTTAATCTTAGTCTTTGCAGGGAGATTGTTTTTGAGCCATGACCACATGTTTTAATAGTAACACAATAGAACGTTTTCCCAAGTAATAAACCCTACACCGTAGGAATACTGGGTCTGAAAAAAAAAACACAAGATCGATCCATACCGCGATTGGCCAAATTTTTCAGCTCTCGAAGGCAGTATTTTCAATCAGTAGAACTACTCCTTCGTTAATTCATTCAACGATATTGATTGTTCTGATATCTGCGCACATTTCTATATTCAGTTTGGAAGTCAGAACTCACCCATCAACTGATTCTGTTTGAAAATTTGGTAACTTTTAGTTACGTTCAGGCACCATGCGAGCAAGCGAAGCGCGCGTAGAAAAAGGTACTATACTATCCCTGAAATGTATTTACTCATGAAAATGCCCAAAGGGATAAATGTTTGGGCAACTTGTGGTTTCTGGTAGTTTGTTTTTATTTAGATGACGTTATTCAAACAAAAATATTTTAATATAATCAAAACTCTCTAGCGGCACCCCGGTTTAAAACGCTACTAGATGGTCTATTTTTGAGGGGCAGTTTGACCAGATGGGAAGGGATATACCCTGTAGAGGTGTCGTGGTAGAGTGGATATGTCACCGGACTGTCGATCACAAGGTCCGCGGTTCGAGTCCCACCGCGGCACTAATGTCCTTTGGCAAAACATTGATCTACATTTGCCACACTCTGTTTTGTTATGCTGTGTCTTCTGTTCCTACTGTAACCTATAACCATGGACTTACTAGACATTACAGAATCACAACAACCAATATCGGAGGCTTACAATCTCGAGTTACTTTGGGTTCAGCCATTTAATCTGGATCCATCTTGTGCACTACACTGTGCCTCGCCACAGATGGCGCTATTCCATAACATCCTCCTTTGTTTATAAAACAAGAGAATTTTAGATGCATTGACAAGATTAAACATCTTCATTTTAACTGAGTTCATTCCGTATTAACTGAGTCTGTTCGCCACTTGTCATTCAGTCCTTTTTCTACTTTCATAAATGAATCCATGTGTTGGGTGTCCATGGTAATACCATGGACCTATTACGAATGGACATTCAACGTGATTCTTTCTTTGATCCTATGATAGTCGCCGCCTTCTGATTATCTTAATGAGAACATTCAGCTGTTTTTAACAATAACGACTGCGTAAGCATTTTCGGGCATTGACAAAGGAGCAGTTTCCCTCTCTTGGGTTTTGTTTGGATGGTGTGCTCTGTAAAAGTATGTCTTCAATAAAAACATCCCCAATGGGGAACAGCAAAGTTGAAAAGCAGACGATTTTGGTGATATGAAATGTATTATTACTGATTCGCAAACTTTCGCACACACCTATGACCTTATAAAACAATAGGCCATTTTCGTAATGTAACCAAATTTAATACATAAGTCTTTGTGAAGTGGCTCAATACAAATTATTTCATTCACCTGATAGGAATAATAGTATTTCAATAGTCAGAATTCAGCTGCATATATTAAGTGTTGCTAGGTAGGTCAAGCCATCATGTTGTCCAACCTGGCAACAAGTAATGAATGCAGTTCGGATTCTGTCTATTGAAATACTATTATTCTTATCAGGTGAATAAAATGATCTGTATTGAGGCACTTCACAAATACTTATGCATTAAATTTGGTTACATTACGAAAATGGCCTATTAGAAAGCCATGAAGGCCAGTACAGACATTCCCTTGCCCTTCTCAGACAGCCATTTACACCGATGTGGGAATCGTGAACTCGTCCTATCATGTCCCGTCTCCTGGCTCTAGGAATGACCACTCTCTCTCCTCTGAATATGAGATCATCTCCGATACTGATCTCGTCTCTCACATGGAAATATGAGATAAGCTCCGGGTCCACATCCTTCTTATTTTCTGGCCAACCTCGTTTGACCATATCTTGCAATCTCTGCATCGTCTTGTCTTTCTGCGTTGCATCCCTGATGTCAAAAAGCAGAGGTTGTGATATTGGGATGTGCCTTGCTTAGGGTGTCTGCCAGATACATCTCCTTCCCTATCATAGGTGTTTCTGAAACTTGGTTTAAAACTACAACTGATATCAATATGTTTCAGATACCTGGCTATTCTTTTGGTCATATATGTAGAGCAGAACAGAATGGCGGTGGGGTTGGTTTGTACATTAAAGATGATTTGGAATTGAAATTACGTGTAGATTTATCTGCGTCAAATTCAGGGTATGAAATTGTTTTTGTTGAAATAACAAGCTTCAGTAAAAAGATTATTGTTGGATGTGTATATAAGGCTCCTAACTATGTTGGTTCATCCTTTGTTGAAAATTTAGAACTTCAGCTACAGATATTGGGTAAAGAAAACAAGGAAATCTATTTAATGGGTGATTTCAACATCAATTTATTGAATTATAATAATGATCATAGTGTTAAAGATTTTGTTGTTTTATGTTCTCATTTGGATTATTTTCTCTTGTCACTAAACCTACCCGTATAACTGAAATTAGTGCAACATTGATTGACACTGTTTTCATAAACTGCATTCAAAATGAGTTTAGCTCAGGTGTAATATGTTTAGATATTTCAGATCATATGCCTATATTTTGTGTAAAAAAGGGCTCTGAAGTAACTTCAGTTAAGAGAGATGGACAGGTCTTGAAGCGGAGAATAAATGTTAAAACAATCTCAAGGTTCAAGCAACACTTGGCTGACATTGATTGGCAGGCTCTGCCTTCACTGGAAGGCGTCAGTGATTTATATGAACATTTATAAAATTTATGTTTCCCATTAGTTGAGGTAACATTAAAGAGCAAATGTAAAAAGCCATGGGTAACTCGTGATTTATTGAAATCAATAAATCGTAAACATAAGCTTTATGGTAGTTATGTCAAGAGACCAACAGCTGAGAATAAAAAGAAATATGTTGATTAAAAACGTCCACATGCAGAGTCGTTTATCAACTAAATTATTCAAATTTATGGATGCTTCCTTCCCAGGTGTTTGTGTTGTTAAAGCATTTCATTTACCTGCTATCATTCTTTGTACTCCAATTGCCAGAACGGGGGGTAAGAGGACATTTTTTTAACAAATTTTTTTGTTCCAAAATTTGAAAATTTAACCGATCGACATTCCGTTCCGTTGGGGGGTGGGGGGGGGGGGGGTGGGTAAGGTCAGCTTTTTTTGGTCACCCATTAGGATTTTTGATATTTTTTAATTAAAACAAAAAAAATCAAAAGGGGGGGGGGGTTTCCAAAAAAACATACACATACAAAATACTGAAGGGGGGTTTAACCCCCCCCCCCTAATTGCGTACGCGCCTGCCCGGCGGTGATTTATTGTGTAGACTCCAGGAGATAATCATTGTACTAGAACCATCATGCATAATCAACATCATCATCATTATAGAAAATGGCAAGAAATTAAACAAATTATTTGTAACTTCTACATGAGATCGAGCTAGGCTAATACAATGACCCGTGATTTAACTTTCAAGTTTCAAAGGAAGCAGATCCACTGTAAATTTATCTTACATGGGTGACAGAAATGGGGATCATTTCGTGCAAAAACATCTATATAGTTTTATAGAATCTGATCATATTTTTTTTTTACTGAACTTCATCAGTTTACTGTTTTAGCTAAACTACTTGTGTTTGAAATTTTCTGAACAAATATTAAATAAAGATCAAATATGTGTGTTGGGGGTTGTATATTTGCACGTCACACATGACTGATCCGATGATCAAATACAAATAACACATTTATTTTCTTCTGGAACGGACGTGTATTTCAAGGAAGCAAAAAGGGGGAAGTTGGCAGTTACCCCCGCCCCCCCCCCCCCCGACATTTTCAACCAAGAAAAGACGTCCGAGTTTTCACTTAATTGTTGGAATTACTACGAATTCTAAAATAAAATTTTCCAAAAAGTTTCTGCTCGGCCTTTACTTGACCGGCTTTGCAAAATGGTGATTTATTAGGCCATCAAGCCAATTAAACTTAAAGATGGAAGAGAAGCTACTGGGGGCACATGGTTCACGCACTTCCCCACTAGCAGACAATACCATTATAAGACAATTTGACATATCTTCAAACTTTAATTCGAAGATTAATTGTAGATAATGAACCTGTCTGAAAACATTCAAAAAGGAATTAATGTGCCAACCCCCTTTTCTTTTTGCTCGCTTTACAAATTATCAATATAACGTACACAGACTGAAAATTATCTATTTTGCATGTTCGGTGATACGTTCCACTGAGATCACATCTGGAAAGCATCAAAAGACATTTTTTTTTTAACTCCACGCAGACAGGGACGTCGCCAGACCTTTTCAGTGGGGGGGGGGGGGGGGGGGGGGTAGAGGCCAACGATTATCGACAAAACTGGCCATCAAGGGTGTCGATTTGTATTCGTGGTTGGGGGGATGATAGGTGCCAAAATATATTCGGTAATGGATCAAAGCAACCAAAGTGGTAGAAGCGTGTGGCAAGTTGCACCCCTCCCAAGCGCGTAGCCAGGATTTAATTTTAGGGGGGCGGTAGTGAGCACGCGAAGCGGGGTTCCTAGGGGGTTGGGTGCAGGGAGGGGGAGTTCCTCCCCCCCCCCCGCGCAAAGCACGGAAGCTTTGACGTTTCACTAAATTATTAGAGAAAGAAGACGATTTGTTGGACCGTTCTCGACTCTCTATCCTTGTTTGAATCAAATTCCCCTTCCTCCGCGCATAGCGCGGTAGCTCTGACGTTTCATTAGATTATTAAAGAAAGAAGACGATTCGATGTACCATTCTCGACTCTTAATCCTTGTTTGAATCAAGTTCCCCTTCCTCCGCGCGTAGCGCGGAAGCTCTGACGTTTCATTAGATTATTAAAGAAAGAAGACGATTCTATGTACCATTCTCGACTCTTAATCCTTGTCTGAATCAAGTTCCCCTTCCCCCGCGCGTAGCGCGGAAGCTCTGACGTTTCATTAGATTATTAAACAAAGAAGACAATTCTATATGTACCATTCTCGACTCTTAATCCTTGTCTGAATTCATTTTTGCCCATTCTTGCGCGAAGCGCGGAAGCTTTTACATTTTATTACATTATTAGAGAAAGAAGACGATTTGTTGTATCGTGTCCTTCATGAATTCAGTTTCCCCCCTACCGCGCGAACCGCGGAAGCTTTAACGTTTCAATAAATTATTACTCTTAATCCTTGTCTGTATTCATTTTCGCCCATTCCGCGCGTAGCGCGGAAGCTTTCACGTTTCATTAAATTATTAGTAAAAGAAGACGATTAGTACTGTTGTATCGTGTCCTTTGACGTTTCATTTGATTATTACTCTTAATCCACGTCTGAATTCAGTTGCCCCCCAACAGCTTTGCCCTGTTCGCTAAATTATCAGAGAAAGAAGACGATTCGTTGTACTGTTCTCTGTATTAATCCTTGTCTGAATTCAGTTTCCCCACTGAAAATAAGTTGTGTCACAAATAAGTTGTGACATAATAATTCTCCAAAAATGAAAACTGTTTTAGGAAATATCAGGAAATAAAATGAGTGAAAAAAATAAAAAATAAAGATACAATGACGTGAATTTTAAAAAGGGTGCACGGAAACAACATAACAACTAGTGAACTATAGTTTTATAAGTCATACTAATGTCCGAAAATCTTTCTCCTTATCTCCGATCTCATCACGAAATCGTCACAGAGTTCATCTATGTTTACACTGTCCAGGATTGTCTGATGTGCATTGCAGATTATGTATTAATCCTTGTCTGAATTCAGTTTCCCCACTGAAAATAAGTTGTGTCACAAATAAGTTGTGACATAATAATTCTCCAAAAATGAAAACTGTTTTAGAAAATATCAGGAAATAAAATGAGTGAAAAAAATAAAAAATAAAGATACAATGACGTGAATTTTAAAAAGGGTGCACGGAAACAACATAACAACTAGTGAACTATAGTTTAATAAGTCATACTAATGTCCGAAAATCTTTCTCCTTGTCTGCAGGCGCGGATCTACGGGGGGGGGGTTTAGGGGGTTCAAACCCCCCCTTGGGCGGCCCAAAAAAAAAAAAAGAAAAAGAAAAAAAGAAAGAAAGAAAAAAAAAAAAAAGAAAGAAAAAAGAACGCACGCTGGAGAGAAACCCTTTCAAGTGCAAATATTGTGAGAAGATATTCAACTCATCTGGTAACTTAACCAAACACATGATAAAAAGGCTGGATATAACTGTGTATTAAGCTGTTACTTGATTTAAAAAGACGTTATCATGCACTGCTTTTTATGGTCTCCATTGTGTTAATAGATGCCAGGAAAACATCACTTACGGGGTTCAAATAAACACCCCAAAAAAAATCGGCTCGCCGCTACGCGGCTCGTGGACGATGCTCTGCATCGTCATTATTTTGGTCAAACCCCCCCCCTTAGCAAAAAGCTAGATCCGCCCCTGGTCTCCGATTTGGCACGAAATCGTCACAGAGTTCATCTATGTTTACACTGTCCAGGATTGTCTGATGTGCATTGCAGATTGCTACTTTTGTGTTTCGCGCTTAACATTTAGCTCGTTGCTTTTGATGCTGCGTCTTTGCATTTGGCGCACTGCATTTCTCATCAATTCCTGATGAAGCCGTATGAGCGAGAATTCAATTTATTATTGTCTTATATACGGTTGTCTTATTTACTTCGTATATATGTATGTATTATGAAAATGAGATAGCAAAATGTGTTTATTAATGGTCATCTTGCGAGTAATAACCAATAACTACTCTCATCGGACTCTCATCATTAATTTTTCTCTTCATTAAAAAAAAAAAAAATTATGATGAATATTATTGGGGGGGGGGGATGATTGTACAAGCCATCCCCCACCTGAAATATTGGGGGGATATATATCCCCCCATCCCCCCCCCCCCGGGGTCGACACCCATGATCACATTATTAATCAATTATTTGAAAAGACGTCGAAATTAATTGTATTGAATACAGGGTGAAATGTGAGGAAAAAAGTGAAAAGCTCAGCTTGTAGATGTATAAATAAAACTAACATTTGATTGAAGTGGTTGCAATGGTGAAGGATGTAACAATAATAATAGTTGGGCAAGAAAGCCAAGAAGGTCTTAACATAAGATGATATACAGAGTGAAACAAGCAAAAATAGCAAATACAGCAATTAATTAATTTGTAAATTACCACAAAAATGTCACGATTGTCACTTAGAAATATTGAAGGGTAATTCACGTACAACTTCCCCACTAGCAGACAAAATCAATAAGACAATTTGACATATCTTCAAACTTTATTACGAGGATTACTTGAAATGAAATAGATAGCTCAAGCCTCAACATTAGTTTAGGATACCCCCCCCCCCTCCCTCCCCCGCGACGCCAAGGTTCATTTCTCGACCTATAGCTGCTGTAGCATGCAATGTACAGAATCCCCAATGTACGTAGGCCCTACATGTATTTTTTTTCCATTCTGCTACGCTAGCTGAAGACACCATAAAACTCACGTCACATGTACGCTGTACATATTTTATATACTAGAGCTATATGCACGTACTGTATTAAAAAGACCCGCCAATTTAAAGAACTACATTTCATCCGTTTGAGAAGTGCCTATAAACTATGGCGGTAAGAATGATATGTAATTTGATTCTAAGAAATATAGTACGTTAGAAATGTTTACTTATAAATAAAATTTGGCTTTATATTCTTACATATTAGCGTTCAAATGACCCTCTGCAAAAATCATGTTTGGAGTTGGACGGACGCGATCGAATCGCGGTTCCATTGAGACAGCCCATGGCTATGCCAATTTTTCCCCCTTTCTTCCGGGCTGGAACGCTGCCTGGCCGTAGCTCGGCCTCAAGTCGCATCATGCGACTGAGAGTGGCCGTGGGCCACCGCGCCAGGCCAGGCCAGGGCTAAACAAACCGAAGCTAAGTGGGCTTAATTGCTGAATACCCTACCAATATCTTCTTCTGGGATACTCCTCAACGTTCTGTAAGGAACCAAGCGAGGAGGATATCATCACGGATATCTCCAAGATCTAGGTCTAGTCTAGTCTAAACAATTTTTTTTGGTTTTTTTGGCCGACTCTTTCGGCAGCAAGCCATCGCCATGTCCGTGTTGCAAGGTGCAGTTGAAGGCGCCGATTTGTGCTTGTGAACTTGTCACAAATAATAGTAACAATGTCGTTTTTAGAAGATCGTGTACTAGAAGATCATTAATGTAAATACCATGTGGTACGCCGTGTGTAATACTTATCCTGCTTATGCTTATAGAAGAAAAATTGGAGGAATTATTATTATAAACTAGGTCTAGAGTAGACTAAGGGAGCCGGTTTTCGGCCACTTAAGACAAAATCCTATTTTTTGGACTCTTTACTTCCTATTTATTATCATTTCTTGTTCAAATCATGAAGCAAATATTATTATTAGATCTATTTAAACAAAAAAGGAATCCCAGAAAAAAATCACGAATTGCCATGACAATATTCATTTCAATTTTCACTGTTTTGGAGCCAGTTATCGACCTAGCGAGTCAGTTTTCGACCGCATGTACAAAGTCAATAGGAAGCGCTCGTGCGCGCCGTGCGTATTCGCGCTGATCTATAGCACAAGCGGGCGGAGCAGGTATCCCACGCCGGAGCTCCCCGGTGCTCGCCTGGTCGAAAACTAGCACTGCCGTGATCGGAAATTGGAATCTGAATGATGGACATATCGTGTGTGCATTGTGGTGTGCGGCTGCATTGATTTAATACATGCGATGAGATACTTTTGAGCTTGCGACTAACACAAAATCGGGCTCTAAATCTGAAAAATACTTGAAGTAAAGCTCATTTTATGGTACCCATATTTCTTACAGACACGCGTAAGATACTCGATTTTTCAGATTTGGGTAGCGGGACTGCCGATAACATCGCTAAAATGTGATATTTTAGGATATATTTTTCATTGTAAATGTGGTTCTTCAGTGACTCTGGCATGGTATGGTATGTGTGGGATATGTGATATGCTATTATGCGATGTATTTTAAAGGGATTTTACCATGCATCCAACGGATCGGCCGAAAACTGGAAATGGTCGATTACCCCCTCCTTTACTCTACATATTGAGATCTATTAGAATGATTACTTTCTAACCAAGATGACAGACAAATTTGAGCGTTCTAGTTTCTGAGTCGAGCCCTTTCATTGGTTCTAAACATTTCAAACACCACTGTAAAAAACTCAACTGATTTCACTCAAAATCGGTACCGGTACTTACTTTAGTGACAATTGATGGGAGTCGGGCTAACTCGGACCAGGGGACAACTCGGCCCAGCTGCAAAAACGGTCCATTTTTGCATGTTTAGGTTTAGGTTTAGGGTTAGGGTTAGAGTTAAGGTAAAATGACAAAAAATGACCGATTTTGCAGCTGGGCCGAGTTGTCCCCTGGTACGAGTTAGCCCGGATCCAATTGATAACACCTAAATAGCAGTAAAATACAATTTTTCAACTTACTGATGTTAAAAAGAATAATTTAAAAATTCAAATTGTAAGTCTAGTGTCAAATTTGCAGATTAGCCACATCGGTTCTATTGTGTGCAGTCTATGCAATAGTATGTGGTGTGTGTATTTGTGTATTATACCTGCCCCTCAGCAAGTATGCAGTGCTAGAGGTCAATACACATTAGCATTGACTCTATGCTTTGCTGGAGTGGGTAGGGGTCTATCGTCTTTAATACATCACACATGTAGCTCCTATATGACTGAGGCTTTAATAATTTCACTCAAACTGGTTGAAAAAGCAAAAATCTAAGTTGGTGCAATAGTGGTAGCACAAATGATACAAACATCCAATTTGCATGAGAAAATGTGTTACTAATATGTACAAAATTTTACAAATGTATAAAATTGATGAAACTAGAGGTTGCTGAACGGAAAATTGCAAGTAAGAGGATACCATAACTCATATTCGAAAGAAGACCCTGAATTTTTTTCAAGTTCAGAAAATTATTAAAAAAACATATATTTCATAACATATAACATTTGTTTATCAAATATTTATGCGATATGATTTGTATCAAGATTAGGCTTGAAAATGGAAAATATCTAAAGAAATACTTCTTCTTCTTATTCTTCAAGATAATCTGGATACTGAAGTTTCTTGCAGATGCTGTATATACTCGGCCTGATTTGGGTGTGCAGGTGGACCACTACATCGGGGTTTCCCCTACTCTAATACGAATAGTGCAGTGGGTTCTAACTTCTTAACGTCCAAGGGTGGTGACTCTCCTGTATACGGGGGCTCTATTTAACGCCCTGTCTGAGGGACGGCGTGTTTTCCACTTAACATAGCCTGCGTCTATGAACAAGGAGAGGGGCATGTTAACACACAACACAGGATTCAGTCATCCGCCTATTGTCGTCATTCTCATGACTTTCCTAAAGTTCTATGGTAGACCGATGGATGTACATGTATAAATATTTGTCTAATTTACTCTTTAAAGATAAAGACCAGTTATGGTCATGCGTTTGCATTGTGAAAGAAATGTTGTGGAATCGATCAGGAAAGGTTGATCATCTAGCACAAGCCTTCTCAACTAGTTTATTAGAAGTGCCAAAACGAAAAGAATTTGTAGTTGAAGTGCCACCCTGTATGGTTGACTGTGCTGCGAGGGAGCGTAGCGACCGAGCCGAAAATGGGTGGGGTCCAGGGGCGAAGCCCTAACGGGGGGTAGCAGGGGCGGAGCCCCCTGAAGCTGGTGGATTTAGGGTTTTTTAAAGGCCCTAATGGGGCATTTTTAGCACCATTCCACAATATAATCAATCATAATTTCATATTGATGTGACAAAATGAATACAATTCCTGGGTACAATTACACTGGAGGTATATTTACTTGTAGTTTTTTGTGTGCAATAAACATGGGAAATGTCAAAATAAAGTGAAAATCAAACAAACAAAAACAAGATGTTACCAGAGATTGGCAATGTTAAAATTGGTATTCCATCGTAAGCTAAATGTTGTTTAGACCTTAGGTTTAGATTCATATAAAATGGTAAAAAACAATAAATTCCCCTTTCTTCCTGTTTGTTTTGTGACCAAATTCGACTACAACTTCTTGATTAAGCTGAGTATTTGATTCTAAAATATATATTTTCTTTCTTTCTGTTTTTTGTTTTGTTGTTGCAACAGTCGCGCGCCACTCCGACTGACCGCAAGCGCCACCAGTTTAGAAGGCCTGATCTAGCATATAAGTATTGGTGTGTACTGCAAGGTTCTGGAATCATCAAAATGATAAGAAATTTGGCCTACCGGTAGTCTTCGTAAAGTTACAAGCACTGTACACAGAAAGATGTATATGGGACTACGCACATGTGCGCGACACATGCATTTATCTCTCACACACCAATAGATAAACTAATTTACCAAATATATCAATTAGTAGGCTGTTTCCCGGCAAAATTGTTATCATCATGTATTAGTCAAAACATATTCTTTCACATAAGAGCTTCCATTTAATTTTTTGAAATTGGGGCGTTTCCAATACTGGTCTTTACCTTTAGTGCATTAAAACCTTACAAGAACAGTTTGTATGTTTTTAGAAGGTTTTATATTGATGCTAATAAGAACCGACCAGTGCAATGAGAGCTTGAACTTGAAGATCAAGAAATAAGTTTTAAAATAAAATTTCAGTTTTAATTTTTTCGCTGCTCATAGACGAACTTAAAGTTTCCTTGAGATGGCATTCTAAATAGATATGACAGGTTTGTAGTCATGATGAGGAATTATTGTGGAAGTTCTCGCTCATCTTGGCAAAGGCGGTTTTGTGAAACACTTAGCAGACGAGTTGATCGACAGTGTCGAGATGTCGTTGTTCTTGTACTGTAGTTATCACGATGACTCCCTGAGCAACATTTCTCTTTGAGTTTGACTGTCTATACTCTTCTAACTACAGAGATGCCAACCCTCCCGATTTCATTGGGAGGCTCCCGAAAATTAACCCCAACTCCTGACCTTATAATCACCATCCTTATCCTCCCAATTTTTTATTTTTTTTAAATTATGATTTTTTTTTTTCACTGATCAGTATATATATCTGCTAATTGAATGAGAAATATCGTCTGCTGACTCTAGCATGTAGTGTTTCCACTATGTTCGCTGCTACTGAATTCTACGTTACAGGCAAAGACAAATTAGGAGCAGCGAAAGATTGGTTCAGCATATGGTTCAGCATAACCAATGTGTGGATATTGACACAGAATCCAAATGGTGAAATCAGCAAAAGAAGACCAAGAAATGGTCTCAGAAGTATAAGACCGAATCCAGTAACCGTGTATTCAAAGTCTGCAAAGGAATTCATCAATGATCAATTGTACACTTTTCTAGTTATTTAAAAAAAAAATATTTAACTAAATACACATGTAAAATGCTCCAAAATAAGGCTCAGATTGCACCAGAGAGCATCTAGAAACCCCGGCGGCATGGGTCAGACGCTCGAGTTGTGCGCTATGCGCACATTATTTGGTGTCGGTTTCAAATCCTCCCTATTTCTGATCAAGCCTGGTTGCGCAAGTAAATTCCACCTTATCATAGCAGAACTTTTCTCAATGAACTTTATATATCTATTACTGTACACTGTCATCACTATTTGACAAATCATCTTTCATAATAAACACATAAAACAAATTTCTGATTTCCAAAAGTTGTCATCTCTGCTAACTATACTCTATACTGAGACTATAGTATCCTGTATTACTAGTACTAGTCTGTACTACTATACAGTAATACTACTAGTAGTAATAGTCAAGGGATTTGCAATTTTTTTTGCAATTTTATTTAACGTTGACATTGTTATGTTTGAACAGGTAACAAATAAAAATATTGAAATAACACGGCATTATAGAGAGCTCACTTACAGTATTAAATTTTCTCTTTTTGTAATTTCATGAGGAATAAGTGATGAAAGTTGCTGATTGATAACAAAGTGATATTCCAGAGATTTAGATTCTAAATCCCATGCTCTGCTTTTTTTTACATATTTAATTATTTGTTCTTTTTCGACAGGGTCTGCCGCAGAATGTTCAGTCGACGGAGGCAGCTCTGCAGGAGGCTGGTAGCAATGTGGACATCTTCCTCAATAAGGATAAAGGTTTTCCAGCTCTGGAAGACCTTATATCTGCTGCCAGGACAGGTAATCACTACTGCTGCTTGTGGTCTTGTTATTGTTTTTGTTCACTGGTGGAAGCTTAAAGGGAAAGAGGGCCCCAATCAAATTGCAAAATTAAGAGAATAGTAATAATTGATAGATATAGAAAAAATGGAGAGGGGGGGGGGGGGGATGTCAACATTTATTCTGGATTGTTTACCCTGCCGTAGATTGGTTGTTTGAACCACTGAAATAAAAACAAATGCACAAAAACTTACTGGGAATAATCTTTGATAAAAATCACAACTCTCATTTGAACATAGTTGCCTGTGTTGAGCACACGGTGTCGGGCCCACTTACCTGGATTTCCTTATCTTTCTATGCTCATTACTCAGCCACTAAACGTTTTCTAAACAAAAGTGTTTGGCACATGTCATTTAATTGTAATCTTGAACAATCAGTCTAAGTTTTGTTGGATTCTGTGATAATTTATTTTGTATATTTACCAGAAATCAAGTATCCTTAAATTTGAAAAATGTCTGCTTGTTACGACTTCTAAATATATTATTCCTTATACTTGCACTTTTGCTTTAGGACCCGCTACAATGAGTGGTACAACGGAGAATGATTTTCCATCCCTAGCAGCGCCCTCTATAGGTCTTGCGGACCTGCCGCTCCTTGGGCCAACCAAGAAGACCCCTCTGCCTCCGGAGCTGGTGGAACAATTTGGTCGTATCCTTTGAAGAACACTCGTAGCTATGCTTAGTTTTTGAGAAACCATGAATTTGATTACGAAGAATTTTTGTTTGATTTTGAAGATTTGTTAAAAGCATAAATACCTTTGAATTTAATAAAGACCTGGGACCCGTTTCACAAAGCCTTTTTTCAATGACAAATGACAAAAATCAGTGACAAATCTGTTGATAACTAATCAGAAGCAAGGATTTCAGTAGCTTATAACAAAAGCTATCATTTGTCACTGATGACAACTTTTGTGAAACGCCCCCCTGTTCGCCTATGGCACTATCTCAGAATATATCTGTACAGCAAGATGAGTTTTTAAAAGTATGTGTAAAATTTCAGATCAAAAGACTAGTTTTCTCTCTAGGAGTGAAAATTGAAGCCCTCATTTTGTACCCAAGAAATGAAACGAATAAAAAAACTGCCAGTTGCAAAATTCAAATTCTAAAAGAAAAATGACCGTAAAGTTTGCTAATAACTAATAAGATGCCTTTTGTCCATTTTACAAGTTTTGAGATTTTCAAATGTAGACTCCATTTCTTTTGCAATTTAATTTTGATATTGTGTTTACCTTGACAGGAACATCATTTCCAAGCACCAGTTGCATCTTATAGAGGTCCTGGCCTATTATTATGCATTTTATTATGATGCCAAATATATTGAATTGAATTGAATGCCTGCAATGCCCTTTAACCACCGATATCAGATATGCAGTGTTACTGCATGATGGGTGCGTTCCCTGGGATAAGCAGAGCATGGCTGAGTGTTGACACAGATATCTTTGTGTGGAATTACCAAGATGGGTGAGTACTAGGGCTGCAACGAGTAGTCCAATACTCGAGTACTCGCACTGTTGACAATTACTCGAGTACTATTTCTCGTACTCGAATATTCGGCCGCAAAAAAAAAAAATCCCGGTCACCTGGCACTGTCCAGGCCGACGCTTACCCGTGCCAGGGAGAGTGCCGGCCGCAGGCATGGTACCGTCGGTAACAATGTTTCCCAGCTCAATCACTGTCAAACTCACCACTCAGAAACTGGGACCAAATGTCCGGATTTCTGTTTGGACTCGGGAGGAAAATGGATTATTCTGCCATCTTTGGTTTTTAAAACAGCATTGTTTACTGTTATCTTTATTATTGAATCGGCGCCTTCAACTGCAACTCGAAGTAAAATTGCGTGAGTTTTCGGAGATGGACCTGGGATACTACTCCCTTAGTGGCAAAAAACAAAAAACACACACACACCAAAAAAAAAAAGTTAAATTAAAAAAAAAACATGGCGTCCGAATATTTGAGTATTCGCCTGTAAGCCTGGGAGTGTACTCGGATACCTCATTACATGGTTGTGCGCAGCCTTAGTGAGTACATGTAGCATGTAATTTGCACATCTGTTAAAGCCTATTTTAGCCAAAGTGGTATCTTGTCAATAGACAAGCATTGTATAATTTCTTTCTATGATAGTAAATTCCATTTTTCCTCCTCTATTTTTTCGTAAGCTTATGTATAAAATGTTCCTTTTTTAAAGTTCTAAAGGCTGCTGTGAATTTTTAATATGGCTAAAACCTAGTCTGCATTATCACCTGTATGTTGATTTTTGACCAACTGTACGTAGGTCCTCTTCTAGAACTGTTTTTGTTTGTTTGTGTGTGTGTGTTTGTGTAAACCTGTGGGACTAAATGTAATTTAGAATTCAGAACTGAGGTTTAAGTTTTATTATTTTGAATTATTGTACATAAAAATATAAAAAATCATGAATAATAATAATAGTTTGTTCTTATATACAGCATTTCAGGACCGCAGGCCCTCTCAATGCGCTTTACAGATTTATTATTACCCCAGGCTCACCTCCTTTTCTATCTTTTTCTAATAGAGTTTTGACCCATTCTACCCAAACAAACCTACAACAAAATGTTAAAAAATGGAATAAAAAAGAATGAAATAAACAATATAAAAAAACAAGGAAAGAACAGAAGGTGGATAACCATTTTTGAAAGTCAAGTTGAATGTATAACAACCATTTTGCTCTTTCACTTACAAGATGGAGGTTTTTGTCAAAGATATGCAATTCTGTGTAATGTTATGGTATCATGATGTTGTTACTAGATTTTGTACATGTTTATATTAACAATACACTTTGAAGAAAATTTCTTAATCTTCGTTAATCCCTGCCACTCTCTGAAAGTTCTCTGAATGCTTTAAATGTTCTCAGGGACTCTGGGAGACCACTATTTATAAGTTTTTCTCGCTACCCAGGGTAAACATTAGATACGTGTATATTACTTAATATAGATATCTTCTTTCTCATTTGCTTTTTTTTAACTTGCACAGTGGAGACTTGGCCTACTTCGATGGCCTGAGTGAGACCATTTTGTATGCCGGCCTCGTCAGACCTAAGCCCAATATCTTCAGACCTCATATCCGCTTCCTCATGTGTATCGCCACCACGGTAGAGATCGTACTGCTGGGTGTAAGCTTCTCACGACCAAGAGAAGGTAGGCTACAGCTATAGTAGTCCTGGGGGGTGTTTCACAAAGATGCTAAGTTGAACTTTTCTGTACGTTGGACTTAAAAATTATGGAAGCCGTTAGCATCTACGAAAATATTTTGTAAAAGTTATTTTAAAAGGCATAAAATGTTGATTCAAATCATTCATTTTTTCTATTATCAAGGAGATTTCATGTTCTTGATGTGGAATTTATAAACAGTCTAAAATACTTGAGTTTTTACTTTTGAACATATTTTATTTTAAGGCTACAAATGGCTCTCCATAATATTTAAGTCCAACTTAATAGAGGTAAGTTCAACTTAGGATCTTTGCGAAACACTCCCCTAGGATGAAAAGTTTAACAGACCAATAAACAACCAAGGGTGCAAAAAAATGTTTTCCACTTTCGGTTTCTTTTCACTGGATGAAACACCCAAAGTTAAAGTTGATCACAGAATCTCATTGTTTCTTTCTTTCTTAATGATAGTACTAAGAAATTCATTTGTACAGCACCTTTTTATAATACTAGATCTTTCAAAGGGCATGACATGTAGAAACAATTATAGTGTCTGTGACACAAACAAAGGATATACAATACATTAAAGCCCCACTGCACTACTTGTAGCTACTTGCTCCCTTTTCATAGAAAACAATGCCTAAACGGTGCCTGTTGGGCCCCCATGATCCTCTTTTTCTTATGTTAATTGAGAGCCGAATTAATGAGATAATCACCTGTCAGTGACCAGCCGGGTGGTCTAATCCCTCCTGGCCAAACTAGTGCAGACGAGCTTTGACAAAATACAGAAATATACAGAAACAAAAGAATATGAATGTTTGTGATATTTAGAAAAGAGTCACAGTACCATTACACGGACATTAAGTATTCAGATTAATGAATCATTGAAAAAACATGACGTTTTGCTCATCCTCACCAGACATTGATCCAGATGACTTTGGCCAGAGTGAGATGCACCTCATTCCGGAACCTTTGTTTGCCATCCCGTCTGACAACTCCCACATCACCAACATCCAGGGCACCAAAGATGGCCGCATCTTCCTGGCTAGCAAGGATGGTTGCCTCTATGAGCTTGTCTATCAGGTATTGTCTCTCATTATTTAACCCTCAATCCCCCACCCCCTACTCTTTCTCTCATTTTCTCTCTCTCACTCTCGCTCTCTCTCTCTCTCTCTCTTACTCTCTCTCTCTCTCTCTTTCTCTCTTTCTCTCTTTCTCTCTTTCTCTCTCCCTCTGCTCTTCTCGATTTGCAGCAAAAAATATTTGTCTTAAATATTAAAATATTCTGGGCACCTAAGATGGATGCATCTTCCTAGCTATCAAAGAGGGTTGTCTCTCTTTAGCCCTCACCCCCCCCCCCTTATCACTCACCCTATCTCTCTCTCTCTCTCTTAATCTGCTCTTTTAAATCATCAGTAAACACTTTTTGTCCTGAACGTTCGTGGCAGCAAAATAGAAAGGCGCATCACTAGCAAGGGTGGTTGCCCTTATGAACTTGTCTATCAGGTATTGTCTGTCACAGACCACTAAAACGTACTTTTCTCCTGAGGATCTTTCAAAATATTTGACTATAACAAAAGAAAATTATAAAGGCTAGGCTAAGGAGTATAGGTAAGGAAGTACATTCAGCAGCTACAGAGTAAAAAAAAAGGGAGAGCCTTTAGCCCTAGGCATATTTGACATTATAGTCACACAGAGAAGTTTTGAAATTTTAGTTGATAATCACAGTTTTCAAGTTATCAAGAAAAGTATACATCAATCAACTTTTAGGGGCTTTAAAGCCCCACTGCACTACTTATAGCTACCGGTACTTGCGCCCTCTATATAGCAAACAATGCCTAATCGGCGACTATTGGTCCCCCATGATCCCATTTTTCTTATGTTAATTGAGAGCTGATTTGATGAGATGACCTCCTGACGGTGACCATGCAGGGAGGTGTAATCCATCCTGGCCAAACTAGTACAGAGGGGCTTTAACATTCTTTCTTCCTTTTTGAGTGACATCTGTAACTTGAGTGTCCATGAGTGCACTCGATGCTTGTCCTGCCTTCATCTTTCTGCTCTAACTTTTATTTTCCTCTATACAGGGATGCCAGTGTTCAGGCTCTGGCGAGTCATTTTCAGACCATAGTTTTGGCTTTTTTGTCTACAAAATAGCTCATTCTAGGTGATTTTCAGGCCCTCTGATCAATTCTAGCTGGCATCCCTGTCTATAGTGTGGGCTGATTTTTGTTGTTTTTGTTTACCTTTCAGGCCCAGGACGGATGGTTCAGTCGCAAATGTCGTAAAGTCAACCATTCCAGCGGTGTGCTGTCCTACCTTATACCCAGCATGCTGCAGTTATCAGACAAAGGTCAGTCCCATACGTTTTTAAAGCTACCAAACCAGGGGACCTACTGCTTTGAGCCCTATGAGTGGGACTAGGTAGTAGTGGAAGTATACCTTAACCAAGGGAACTGATGTGACTATTTTTTATTGAATGTCCAAGTCCATTGCTTTACCCACTACCCTCTTTTCATTATTACGTTGGGAGGGGAGGGGAGGGGGGGGGGGGGGGGAGATGACACAAATTGCCGCTTCCATCGAACATTTCTGTAGACAAATCTCAAACTGTTTTAAGAATGTTTGTAATTTTTCAGTTCCATGCAAATGAAATTAAAACGTGAGGGCGTTTTTTTTGCAGTTGGAATATTTTTTAATCAACTCCTCTCAGCGAATTTGAAGATCTGGAAACAATAACAGGACCCTGTTCCATGAAACTTGTTACCAACAACAAACGCTAAATTTCTCTGACATATTTGCTCTCAGCCAATCAGATGCCACGATTTCAGTAGCTCATAAAAGTTATTGTAATTTGTTATTGATAACAAGTTTTATGAAACAGGGTCCAGATTGATGCATGATTTCTTACACTGTACATCAATTACACAACAATTTTATGTGGATATCAAATAAAACTTATCCATTCTCTCTCTCTCTCTTTCTCTCTCATACACACACTTTCCCCTCTCAAGATCCCCTGGTGCAGATCGCTCTCGACGAGAGCCGTCACATCCTCTACACACGCTCGGAGCAGGGCACCCTCTCGGTTTACGACATGGGGTCGGACGGGAAGGACATGAGGAAAGTCACGAGCATCTACTACAGCAGCATACTACGAGAGACCATCGCAGCAGCAAAGTAAGTGTGCTCAAAATATGAACTACCGGTATGCATACAATTTCCCATCAAATCAGGGGGTGTTTCATAAAGAGTTCGTAAAGTTACGCATGACTTTACGAATGACTTAAATATGAAAAGCCAAATGGGATGCTCAATCATTATTAACTGCATCAACTTAAGTTGAACTGTGTAGATGTAGATTAACATTCTTATTATAATAAACATATTTAATGCAAAGTATATTTTGTGCCATAATTTAACTGAGGTTATTGGAAATATAGTCACACTTTGTTAAAACATCAGGAAAAACTTTGTGCATCCTATCTGGCACTTCATATACAAGTCGTTCGTAAAGTCATGCGTAACTTTACGAACAGCTTCATGAAACACCCCCCGGAATACTTTGTGTGCTGATTTCATTTTTTTCCTCTAATTGCATGACTCTTGAGCAGGTTGTTTTATATTGTGATTCAAGCACTGAGATAAACTGCTACAGATAGCTCTGCATGAGTCAAATGTGTTGGAACCGCAAAATATAGTTCAATTTATGCAAAATTTGCCTAAGGAAGTGTTGATAACACATCTTATCTCAAACAGAATAAGAACAAATGCTTATTATCAATACTCTCAACAACTAACAACAGCTACAATATTTTAAACACATTTCTGATATTTCATAAATTAAATGACACTTTAAAATAAAAGGGAGACATCATTTTGAGGGGAACCAAGCATAATATACAATACATGTTTTAAAATTTCTTGTTAAATTCAAAATAACATAATTCTAATATCATTTTTTTGTTTTCTTGTTTTTGTTTTGTTAAAGGACCATTGACCGGTCACATTTCAAGCAGCTTATTCACATAGCAGCAGTCACAAGTCACGAGTCATCTTACATCCATCTGGTTGGAGTAACTCACTCTGGTAAGTCAAGGAGTAGCCTCATCAAAATGTTTGAAACCTAAACCCCTAAAAAGAGTTCTGCAATAGACCGTTTTCGTATTGTAATCAAAATCTTTTTTAAAGTGCCAATTATTACACTAACCTGTTACAAATAGTCGTATTTCAAAATGCATACATTGTTGCAAGGTAGGACAAACATGGCTTGCCCTACCTAACAACACTTAACAGAGATTCGTGCATTGAATTTGATTACATCACGAAAATGGCCTTATTCTAGTTTGAGGGTGTACATCTCTCATGTTACTGTATCATCTTACTTGATGTTGGTATCTTTGAAAAGCCTGTTTATTTCCCCTAACAATGATACCCCATTTGTGATGACTATTTAATCATGGAATGTACAGTATACTTGAATATGAGGCCAGTCAAAAATGAAATGTTGCAAAATGTATTGTTATTGTCAATAGGGAATTTTTCATTTGTTTTGGGAATGGATTTTGTTTTGAAGGAATAAGAATGCATTGTAAGTCTCTGCCACTAAACAAACTCCCCTATTTCTTTCACCATACTATCACAATAGACTGGTTTACTTACATATTCTAATTTTATGCATACTATTTAAAGATAAAGACCAGTATTGGAAACGCCCCAATTTCAAAAAATGAAATGGAAGCTCTCATTACCAATCATGTGAAAGAATATGTTTTGACTAATACATGATGATAAAAAATTTGCCGGGAAACCGCCTACTAATTCATATATTTGGTAAATTTGTTTCTCTCATGGACTGTGAGAGATATAGGGTAGTCCCATATACACCTTTCTGTGTATAGTGCTTGTAACTTTATGAAGAATGGGCCAAATTTCTTATCATTTTGATGATTCCAGAACCTTGCAGATGCTAGATGCTAGATGATCGACCTTTTCTGATCGATTCCACAACGTTTCTTTCACAATGCAATCGCATGACCATAACTGGTCTTTACCTTTAAAGAAAGGTTGTTCTTGAAAGCATCTTGTTGATTTTCACAATTATTATGCAACGCCTTTAACTACATTCTGCATCTTCCTGCTCAGGTATCAGACTTTACTTCTCCACCACCAGAGGGCAGTATGGTGATGTCAGCAAGCAGCGGCCGTCATCTTTGTCTCTGGTTCACGTCAGGCTTCCTCCGGGCTTCACAGCAAACATGTCCTCAGTCCGACCTACCAATGTCCATGTGGCTTCCTATACCAAAGGTAATGTGCACTCTGCAAGAAAAGAAAGTGAACACGACCCATCTATCTTGATCCCGTTGTCTTTACCACTTCCACCGCAGTTTCTTCCAGACCCAACCTTTCCATGAACTCACTTGCGTGCTTTCTATCGGACAGTTTTACACCACACATCTTCCTATCGTGGCTTTTTATGTTCTTCTTATTAACAATACCTTCTACTGTCTTTACATTTCAAGTTCAAAATGTATATTTCCTTGTTTGATTGTGTGACAGGTTGCTTGATGTTGTGTGCATCGCAGAACGAAGACAGCGATCGTCTTTGGTGTCTCAGCCATGATGCTATGCCATTCCAACAGACGCTTATGGAAACACAGGTAATAAATTAATCTTAAAATCTATGTCACTCTAGCTGCATAGTTTATCAAATATAATATTGAGGTCATAAATTAGTTGTTCACATGTCGATTCAGTTTTGACAAAGTATAGTCCTCAAAATTGAAGTTTGGTGTGAGAGATTGGGGAACTTCATGGAGGGGGTCATATCAACATTCACATTCTATTTCTGTTTAATGTAATTTTGACATTTGCATTTAATTATCTTTATTTTGTTCTTGCTTGTTAAAAAAGTATTTGTTGAGATTATATTCCATTAATTTTGAGTTGTAGGTTCCTGCACATTTCACAGTTTGTACTTTTCTCTGGGTTTCCTTTAAATGATATTAGTTGTCAAACAAATGTGATGATTACCTTGTCAATTAATATAATCATTTTTTTTTTTTTTGAATTATGAAACAATATGTCTTTTATGTATATTTTGTTATCTATATTATTTCTGCATGTGAAATGTGAAATTAATAAACTCAAACTCAACTCAACTCAATTGACTTGAAAAATAGGTATCGCATCAAGTGGACAGTAGGACCTGGTTTATCTGCGAGATTCCTTCCGAGGACCACATCACTCCGAGAGACGACGTCTCCTCCATCTCCTTATCCCCGTCCTCCAAGCTGAGACCGGTCTCCTCCTCCTCCTCCTCCCCGGCATCGCCCTCATACTCCATCCCTAACCCTCCCGCAGTGGTGCAGCAGCATGCCTTGCCGGCTCCCAGATATGTTCTCCTCAGCTCACAGGTAGGAAAAAGGTCATTTCTGACTCTGCATTGAAACATTTTGATAAAAAGTCCATCTTAATTTGGATTAAAGCCCCACTGCACTATACTTATAGCCACTTGCACCCTCTTTATAGCAAACAATGCCTAATCGGTGACCATTGGTCCCCCATGGTCCCCTTTTTTTAATGTTAATTGAGAGCTGATTTGATGAGATAACCAAATGTCAGTGACCATGCAGGGAGGTCTAATCCCTCCTGGCTAAACTAGTACAGAGGGGCTTAACCCTAATAAGGCCGGGCTATTTGAAGTCTTACTACGGCCGGGGGGGGGCCATTATGGCCCCCCCCCTAAGATCTCGGCCGTGAAACGGCCGATCTCCGCGAAAATTTGCACGCATGTCAAGTGAAGTGTATAGAACAATATGATAATTTCAATTTTTTGAAAAAAATCCCTCATTTGCATATTTATGGTAATTTATGCAAATAACGTCATAAAATCACATTTTTACCCATAAATCCTATATTATTCATATTTAAGCATTCTTTTTCACTACATATATTCATTAGACCATTTGGAACAATAATACGACAAAAAAAATTGGAAGAGCCAGCTTATTTCTTATGTTATCTCTTGTTTTGATAATTTCTTATGTATTTCATTGTTTTTTTAACTTATTTATGTTATTGTTTTTTTTTTTTTTTCATTTCTTCCTACAATTCAACTATTTTGACTCCCAAAACAACCACCTAAACTTTAAACAAGACCCAATAACCAATGTTTGATCTATTTTTAGGAAAAATGACATTTCCATATGTTTTGTACACAAATCACAAAAATGAGCGATTTTTGGGCTGACATGCAAAGACAAAAGGTCACGTGACCTTGTAACTATAGGTCCGATTTTTTTTTTTTTTTTTTTAAAGATGCGCAAGACTCTAAAGAAAAAAGTCAGCGAGCGGCGAGGCGCCATCCATATGTGTTCTCGAACAATCAGAAAAATCGTGGAGGGGGGGGCCATAATGGCCCCCCCCCCCCCCGGCCTTATTAGGGTTAAATTTAGTGAAACAGGTATGTGAAGGTTAAAAGTGAAATCCACCCTGGTATTAAGTTGCTTTAGATAGAAGAAGAAAAATGAGAGAAACGGATCATTGAAAGTTTGAGCAAAAGGAATTGTAAAATAAGAAAATTTGTGATTTTAGTGCCATACACAAATGCAACTCTTTGACGTATTTGCTAGGTCCCCTCTAATTCGCTCTGTACTAATAATTAATGATTAATTTTGACTTTCAATAAAAATTAAACATCAAATGTAATCTAATTGATTAATGAATTTATTTATTTTTGATTTATTTATTATTATTTTATTTGTGTGTGTGTATTGAGGAGATCAAACTTAGACTACACTTTTGATGACAATGCCCGTCTAATGTCACGATAATATGTATGTTTGTTTTCAGGGGAGTATCATCATCTCTAGACTGAGGCCAGTAGACCAGTTGAGACAGCTTATGCTCAACAACATGGGCCCCAAGTGCCCTGCAGTAGAGAACTTCTTCAGGTTACACAAGGTATGTATGATAATTATAGGTACCCACTTGCATAGCGCAGTTTCTGTCCTAAGACATATCGGTGCGCTTTATATAAATTACAAAATTATTACCCTAGCTTTAGCTCCGGCAGCCATTACAGCGCTCTAGCATTTCAAGGAATAATTCTACCAGGTACCTATTTTTCTCACCTCTTCCCCTTCCTCATCCTCTTTCCTCTTCCTCTTTCTCTTTCTTTTCTTTTTCCTCCTCCTTTTCATCTCCCTGATGATGAAGTTCTCTATGTTGTTCTCTCTATCCTTGCAGGAGGACCAAGCCAGTGCTACCTGCTTGATCCTGGCCTGTTCCACAGCTTCCGGTGATCAGACCATTGCTGACCCGCCCAAGCTTTCATCCTCTCCCTCTTCCCCTTCCTCATCCTCTTTCGCTTTCTCTTCCTTTTCTTTTTCCTCCTCCTTTTTCTCTCCCTGATGATGAAGTTCTCTATGTTGTTCTCTCTATCCCTGCAGGAGGACCAAGCCAGTGCTACCTGCTTGATTCTGGCCTGTTCCACAGCTTCCAGTGATCAGACCATCGCTGACTGGGCCACCCAAGCTTTCCTCCTCTCCCTCTTCCTCTTCCCCTTCCCCTACCTCTTCCCCTTTCCCTTACTTTTCTTTTTCCTCCTCTTTCTCTTCCTGATAATGAAGTTCTCTATGTTGCTCTCTATATCCTTGTAGGAGGACCAAGCCAGTGCTACCTGCTTGATCCTGGCCTGTTCCACAGCTTCCAGTGATCAGACCATCGCTGACTGGGCCACGCAAGCCTTCTTTCTTTACGGTGGGGAACCTGGAGGCATCATGATGGACCAGCAGCCTCCCCCAGTGGCAAATCTTGCTGCCGTCTTCGGTGAGTAGTACATTTGTTTTATAAAGACAGCTTTTATAATAAGGGAGACAAAAAAGGCAGCTTTTATTTGCAGATGACCTCTAAAGCAGGTTTCTTTATAACACATTTCGCCAGGAAGTTAAATCGCACGTTCAGGCTTTTTTGTTTCCAGCAAAACGTAGTGTAGTAAAAGAAAAATATATTTGCAAATTAATTTGAGAACATAATAAATCAGGTAAATATCTTTCTCTAAGAATAGTTTTGGCTACAAGGAACATAGAAACAATGTCGCTTTTAGCACGTGTAAGAGGTGTTTAAAATTGAAAGGCGTGTGTCTCGGTTCCCCCTTATATACCAGCGCCCACGCTACGTGACTTTTAACGGGCAACCAACGATTTCATTGAGTATTCAAGCAAGTAGCTAATCTTGCTGCAGTTTTTGGTGAGCGGTTCAATGAAAGCCGTCTGAAGACCACTCAAGAGGGGAAAAGATAAGAAAAGCAGTCTTTATGTGTAGGTAGACTTGACGATGATGATGGTGGTAGATTCTTGTTTAGCGCTCATATCTGTCATGCTGTCATACTCCTGGTGCTCCGACACAGTTACCCCGGTCATAGCCAAGCAGCCAGAGATGTTGCGTTGTAGCACATCAAAGACCCATCTACACCTAAGTGGAGAGTGGCAAATGTGGATTAATGCCTTTCCAAAGGACATAAGTGCCGGATTTGGATTTGAATCCTCAAACTTATGATTGTACTATGACACCTTCAGTTCTTTTGATACAGGCAGCCACTGAAGCAAGTTTTCAAAGAGAATTAAATTGAATAAGCTTGATCCCTTATTCAATTCAATACTTAAAGGGGGTGTAGCATGACGAGACTATGTGTCTTTCCCATGGCTCACTTATACATGTGTTTATTATTATATGAGATTGATTTTCAAAGTTTGAACTTGTAAGCAACGTTGCATAATGTTCTCTCCATGATAACAGGAGCCACGACCCCCGTTGTAGGCCAGACAGGTCACGACACCACCAACCGCCCCTTTGGCAGCCCCGGAGGCGCCACGCCCGGATCAATGCGCCCTGCGGTTGCCTCCACACCTTTCCACCAGTCCACGCCCGCCAATCAGCCACCCATGTCTGGTCTCCCTCGGTACGCCCAGCTGTCTGGTAAATTCCAGGGACTGTGCCTGTACTACGGCAGAATCGTCAGGTAATATGAAGTATGAAATAGCCTGGACTTCTCCCACAAGAATAGATACCTTAAACACTTGATTGTACCAAGGAGTTTTAAGAGATGGAGTCACATCTAGCTCATTCCCTTTGTACCATCTTCGCCAGGAGAAAAAAATATGTCAGGCATGTGCTTAACTGGATCTTTCTTGCAGATACGTAGACAAAAGATTCCTGCCTAGCTGCAAACTATTACTGTCCTTTGATTAGATATATGAAAACTTCTATTTATGTCCATAATAAAAAGTGAGAATGGAAAATGTTGATATAACACGATCTTCTTGTTACCATTGTATAATGTACAGGCCCATGTGGGAGCATCGTCTGGTGAAAGAAGTACCTGTCATTGGACACCAACCCCTCAAGACATTGGTGAGTTCAAGGGCTGAAAAGTGGCCCATATCTACATACTCTCAGAACATTCCTTTTTTTATAATTGCTCATTGAAATCTGTAAGTGTCATGATAGTAATGAAATGGGTGTATTGTAAAGCTTCGTTATTGTCCTTTGATTATTTTATTAAAATATTTCTTCTTCTTCAATTTTGTATCTTTCTATGTTCTAGTTCATACGGTAATGGAGAATTGAAGGGTTTCAAGTTTGTCTTGTTCATCGCTTGCTGCTCATGTTCAATATTTATGTTAATATAAAATGACTTTCGTCTGCGTTATGGCAGTTACTCTCCATGTATGGGCAGAGCTGTCATGTCAGTCTTCATAGCTTTAATGGTTATGTTGAGAGTTATAATTACACTGGGTAGTGGTGGGGGGCGGGGGCCACCACTCTGATTCAGTGCCCATCACTAATCAGCGGTTCTAGCACAAAAGCTCACCACTTGAGAGTCGACATGTCATATCAAATGTATCGCAAATTTGGAATTGTGTGACAGAAATGACAAAGTATGTAGATTTTCATCAAATGCCTACTGGCACTTTGAATGTGACACTTAAACAACTGGTTGTGTAATATCCTATACTGTAACATAAGTGTAATACCCTATATTGTATCTTACCTGTAATACCCTATACTGTATGAGTAATATGTATACTGTATCATACGTGTACTATCCTATTCTGTATGCGTAATACCCTATACTGTTTATTATGTGTAATACCTTATTCTGTATGTGTAATACCATATACTGTATGTGTAATACCCTATACTGTATCACATGTGTAATACCCTATACTGTATCATATACGTAATATCCTTTACTGTATCATATGTGTAATACTCTATACTATATCATATGTGTAATACCCTATACTGTATCATATGTGTAATACCCTATACTGTATCATATGTGTAATACCCTATACTGTATCATATATGTAATATCCTTTACTGTATCATATGTGTAATACCCTATACTGTATCATATGTGTAATACCCTATACTGTATCATATGTGTAATACTCTATACTGTATCACATGTGTAATACCCTATACTGTATTCCTTTCAGATGTCCTTGAGCACTGGAAGCCACGAGTTGAGTTCTGTGTTGAGAGACATGAAGGCATTGAAGACCTTTCTGGAGAAGAACTCACAATACACCATGATGGCTGAAAAGTGAGTGTGTCTCAACCCCTTACATGCCCCCGTTGGCATATGCTCTGCATGTTACGACAATCCCGTTGACGATGGTTCTATGTGAATTGCCCCCTAGACAATCACCCCCCCCCCCCCCTGGCAATTAACAGTGGGACAATTACCTCCTCCCTCCTTAAAATTTCCAATAGGACAATTCCCCCTAGGACAAGAAATAGTGAAATGAAACAAAGCAAAGTCAAAGATTTAAAACGAAATATGAGTTTATTTTTAACTGAAAAATGAAGATTGTTGGTGTTGGTGCAAATAGTATAAATTGAATGACTGCCAGATAACACCAGCCAACAACATTACAATGCTTATTTATTTATCAATGCGTCAAGTGGACAGTTCCCCATAAAGGAATATTCATTTGGTAACAATGTTTCACTCACTGTTACATTTCAAGCCCTGTTATCTCGTAAGTGCTCACTGTTTCATCAATTGCAAAATTATATAATCCTCTTTCTTTATCAGTGCTCTTTTACTTACCTTGACATTTAAAACCCCTATATATTTGTTGGTGCTCTTTAATTTAATTTTGAAATTGTATTCCCTCTTTCTCTGTGTTTTAGCATGGCAAATAGCATGCCTAGCAACAACATGATGAGAGGAGATAGTCTTGTTTCTGGAGGTCCTGCGTTGCAGAGAGAGCATCTCAGGATGAGAGGTAAGTAAGGCAATAGCGCCCTCTAAATAAACAGTGGGGTGTTTCACAAAGATCCTAAGTTGAACCTATCTCTAAGTTGGACTTAGAAAAATATGGAAAGCCATTAGCATCTTTGAAAATATTTTTAAATGGATAGGGAAAAAGCTGTCAGCGGGAACAAGAGAAACAGCAGACAGAGAAGAATGGGATAAACTTGTGATGGCCACAGCAGCGCAGCTAGCGCCACCTGACTGAAGGAAGAAGAAGATATGAAATTAGTTTGTGTTTCTGCACACACCAATAATTTAGTTTGTCCGCAAGTCTACTCACAAATTTGCTTTTACATTATTGCGAAGTGCTAGTTTTGTTTTCAGATATTATGAACATTTCTGATATGACAGCATGCAACCCCAAGCAAACATGGTTCCTTTTGAAAAAGGAAAAAACAAGTACCAAACACCGACTTATTTTTGTCATTGTGTTTTGTAGTTACAGTCAAACCTGCTTTAGCAACCACCTGCATGGAAAGACCACATTCCTTGTTTCCCTTGAAAATGTTTTCCCATTGAAACATGTAATAAAGGAACCTGTACATAAAGACCATCTTCCTGTTAAGTCCACTTTTCTTCTTGTTTCCCTTGAGTAGTCTTCATATACGGGTTTCAATGTACTCTAAAAGCAAGGACATATATTTACATGGATTCCATTTCCTCGGATTGGTGTTTAGCTTTTATTATGCATGTATGGTAAAAGTAACAGCTAAGCAAGGATTGAATTTTAAATTTGTTTCTGTATGATTCCTTTGTCAAGCCGAAATCTATGCTAATGAGAGACAGTCTCTGATGAATCTGCAGAAGTTGGTTGACATGACCGTCGAGGTTCTGGATATGCTGAAGCTACTCTGCTATCATCAATTCCACGTTGTAGCCGCAACACTTTCTCAGGTAATTGTATTATTATTATTACACTGTATAATAATATCATAATAATAGTAATAATAGTAGTAGTAGTATGCAAGTAAAAACTTACCAAAACAGGTAATTTTTCTACTGATTGTAAAGAAAGAACTAATTTCCAAGTTACATCAACAATCGAATGAACCTTGCAGATTCTAAAAACTACCAGGAATATTGTCGACTACATTCTCAAGCTTTCATCTAAAATGTCAAGTAAATGTTAAAGTAATGAATAATACAACTTTTCCTGATTTCTTCAATATTGAGATGTGCATGTCAATGTCGAAATGAAGAGAAATGTTGCATTAAAATTAAGACTTAAAAGCCCCACAGCACTAGTTTGGCCAGGAGGGACTAGACCTCCCTGCATGGTCACTGACAGGTGGTTATCTCATCAAATAAGTTCTCAAATAACATAAGAAAAAGGGGATCATGGGGGACCAATGGTCACCGATTAGGCATTGTTTGCTATATAGAGGGCGCAAGTAGCTATTAGTAGTGCAGTGGGGCTTTAAAGGAATATTTCTCTTTTGTGCAGATGGATCAAGAAGAACTGAAGAAAATTACATTTAGAGATCTTGTATTACGAGGAAAAGAGGTGAGTTATTCTGTTCTTGAAACATTTAGTGACCGTAGGTTACAGATCATGGTTTTTCAACTGTTAAGTTCATGATTTACATTTATTTCCCTCCTGTAGGTTAAGTTTTTGTAGACTTATAACACAGGGATATATCCTTTTCATAATCATTATTCCTATCAATACCACCATTATCATAATCATAATCATCAGTATTACCATCACTGGTATGATCATCATCAACAGCAGCACCACAAATACCATCCCTACCACCACAACCATGATCATTATCATCATCATCATCATAATAGTGGAGTCTCGTATAACGCTCATGTCTGGCATATTGCCTCTCTTGGCGCTCCATTATTACCCTGGCTTTGGCACGGCTGTCGTTACAGCACTGGAGTATTTTAAGGGATTAATCCCTGACAAATACCCTTCTACCTCATTTGAGTCGAGTGAGGCATGATGTCTTACCAAAGGGTGATAGTACTGCAACAGGGATTTGAACCCTATACCTTCAGGTTCACAGTGTGGAGACGTATCCACTGGACCACGACACCTCTAAACCTCATCATCTTCTTCATCATCCCCACTACCACTATCATCAACTTTAGTTGATGTTTAGAGTTTATATGTATCTTTTTTTGTTATGTACCAATCATTATTGATAAGCTGTAAATATTGTGATATTAGTTTTGATTTAATAAAACATACAAATAAATTTTAAAAAAAATACATAGTAGAGTTATCAATACAAGTTAAAGTGATCATATTATTGGCATCATTTATCATCACTTTAGTGTCATGGTCAAGTGGTTTAAGGCGCTTGACTGGAGATGCTAATATCCTTTGGCAAGATATTTACCTGCACTTGCTACTCTCCACCCAGGTGTTAAATGGGTACCCGGTAGGATGCGAAAGTTCATGTGGTTGGATGAGCTTGTGTGCACTTGTAAAATGGCGAGTGGCGAGGCGGGGTAATGACCGGGGTAATAATATATCTGTAAAGCGTTTAGGCACATTGTTTCGATGTATTGGGGGCTATATAAAAGCAGAATATTATTATCATCAACATTTGTGTATTTCTCTCTCGTTTGATTCATTAGATGTGCGGTAGTCTCATCACAGCCCTCATCAATCGATACATCGGTGACAACAGCACAACGGAAGCTATCAGTACCCGACTGAGGGAAGTGTGCCCATCACTCTACAGCGCCAACGATGCCACATGTACAAAGGTCAGACAAGACAGCCCTTAAGCTCAGAAAATGTTTCTTAAAGCCCCTCTGCACTAATTTGGCATAGAGGTATTAGACCTCCCTGCAAGGCCACTGGCAGGTGGTTAACTCATCAACTCAGCTCTCAATCAACATGAGAAAAAGGGGATCATGGGGGACCAACAGGCACCAATTAGGCATTGATTGCTGTATAGAGGGCGCAAGTAGCTATAATTAGTGCAGTGGGGCTTTAGAAAAAGACACAAATAAGATACTCAAACTTTTAAGTTTGATTGAACTCAAGCTGTGGCTATGTAATAGACAAAGTGTAACATGAGCGACTGTGAATCTGCTAAAATGATGTGTCCATTTATTTCCCACTGTCTTCCAGTGGAGGTCTCCCTAACATGGGTTCTTTGAAAAGAGTGAAATCAGTTTTCAAGAGAGCTTCATATTGGGACACTTTTCAGGGTTCCCGTAGTCATGGAAAAACCTAGAAAGTCATGGACAAATTAATTTTCCTGGAAAATCATGAAACTCATGGAAAATTCAAACAACAGTCTTAGAAATTCATGGAAAGTCATGGATGTTGAGAGGGGAGATGGAGGTAATCACAAACACAAATAACTGCGTAGTATTTGTACGCCGCTGCAACCCATACAAAATTATGCTTATCTAGCCATGGAAAAAGGCACCAATGGGTCATAAAAAGTCATGGAATTTGGTTCTCAAATTACTGTGGGAACCCCGACTTTTCGTTTAAGGCCTCTTTGCAATAATCTTTTAATTGTGTAATGTCATTCTTTTCATCTCTCGCCCAGGCCAATGAGACGTTACAAGCAGCGATGACGGCTGAAACCAAGTCCGTCAGGGATAGACTGCTCCGAGAATCGTTGGAGGTAACTATGGTAACATTATCAGTGGATATGACACAACTATGGAGACTAGATTTCATGTCATCACTGTTCTGTTGTGATGTCACTGAATCTGTTTTTTTTTTTTTTTTTTTTTTTCTACACAGAAAAAACATTTCTTTTCACAATGTCCAAATGAGGCATAAGAGTTATGATGAGAGGTTGTTTGTTAACATGATAATTTAGAGAAGAACATCTTTATTGTTTTATGTGCGTGATTGTAATGCACGTCATAGGAGCACGGCTTTGTTGAGGGGTAGTTCAAATCTCTGTCCCTGTATGTGGCAGAAAATCTATTGATTGTATCCCTGTTAGAAAAAATATCGGTTTCTGTAAAGTAATACTCAGGCATGAGATTCCTCTGACAATCTGTGTATTTCCACCAATTTCAAGATTTCAAGACGGGGGAAACAAAAACGGATATTAAAGGGGATTTTTTCTTTACCAGTAGTTAAAATGATATAGTTGGGGAGAATTTAGAAATCGATCAGATCAGGTTTTCTCCATTTTTATTGACCTTTCTCTGTCTCATCCCTGAATTCTCATGTGTTGTTTTTTTTCTGAACAGCTTTTCAAGGAAGTGAGTCAACAGCTTAATCTGGCAGCAATATGTGCAGAATTTCACCAAGGTCAGTTGAAATATATCTTCTTGAAAAGATTCAGTGGCAGCAATATGTATCATATCAAGACCCTAGCCCGATGAAGATACAACCATGATGATGGTGGTGGTGATGGTTATGGTGATGATCATGATGATAATGATGTGCATGTGCATGTTATGTAAACACTCTCAACAATGTGGCAATCATGGGTTTCAGTCTATAGGTAGTAAAGAGTTATTACAACAGAGTATGATCTGTCAGCTTCTCTTCGTGATGTCCATTAGTTGGTGTTTACCAACAAAGATGATAAACTATGTGCTCATGAGGGAGTGCCTGCTATAATATAATAATAATAAATATAGGTTTCTAGGCATTGAATGATTTGAATGTAACTTGGCAGCTTGTTCCAGAGGACCGGTGTGACATACACAAATGCTCGATGACCATAATGGATAGTTCATGTTCTGGGACTATCATGAATATTCATGAAAGCTAATGAATATTCACTAAAAAAATTGTGTTTGTTTTGACTCTCTGCAGCCCACTACTACGATGGTGTGGTAGACCTGTGCTTATCAGCTGCCTTCAAGAGAGACCCTCACAACCTAGCTCTTATCTACTACAAGAATGGCAAGAAACCTGAAGACGCCCACGGAATGGAAGCATTCTCTGCCCGGTAATGACCTTGAACCTATTGAAAACGTTTTATTAGCAATAAATCAAAGGTTAAAACTGCCAATTATCAGGGGCGTACTTCAATCAGGACATTTTTAAGAGTCATTTTTGTTTCGGTTATTTCGAGCAAAACATTTAATTTGCTGTACGGATGTGATGTAAGCTCCTCACAACGAAAGTGCCAGCAGTATACATTCTGACTTTGGGCTATTTCGTAATGTAACCAAATTTAATGCATACATCTCTGTGAAGTGCCTCAATACAAACTATTTCATTCACCTGATAAGAATAATAGTATTTCATTATTCTTATCAGGTGAATGAAATAGATTGTATCGATCGAGGCTCTTCACGAAGACGTATGCATTAAATTTGGTTACATTACGAATCTGTGTTGCGAGGACCTTACGTCACAAAAAAGTGCATTGTGGGGAGAGCCGGCTCGATAATTAAATTGTTCTTTGCTCATTAATACAACAAAAATTAAAAATGAGTCTAAGCACCATTTTCCAAAATTAAGTTATACAGGTATATGGGCTTTTAAATTTTTTGTCTATCTAATCAGCTCAACTTTTCAGTGGAGTGGACTTGTACTTTAAGTGAAGGGGTTTTGAACTTTCAGTGAAAAGCACTGTACACACATGACTTTGTACCAGACCACAGGTTTTGTAGTTACATGTATATCCATTTCGTATTTTGAAATGTTACATGTTTATACATTTTACATTCTTATTCCTAGATTTGAATGTTACAAGTCCATCACAGACATCTTAGACCAGTTGCTGTCTGCCAGCCAGGCCCAGCCCTCTTCTCCAGCGGTACCCAACAGACCAGGTTCTCCTCCTAAGCCTGATCCAAACAGACTCTCTAATACAGATGCGGAACATTATGTAAGTCAACATTCATACAGAGACCAAGCAAATTGGCATGTGCCTGGTGTGACATTTTTTAAAAATTATTTTGTCAACTGTTGAGGTTAGATTGTTGAAGTATTGTTGCTGATGACAATTTTGATGAAATATGGACTGAAATGTTTTGCATAGATTTTTAAATTGTTTAAATTGTGATTTTCTCTTTATGTACCGGTATATTCATTGTGTGTGCCTAAATGAGTGGCCTTATTCTGTTATGCAGATCTCGAGTATTTGAACATATAAATGTGAAAACCCATTTCGAATGACCTTAATTACAGTAGTATACTATGCTTCAAAACCATACGTATGGGAATTGCCTCTGTACTACCTTTGAAAACCATGTGTACTATCTTTTGTTTAGTTTGATGCTATGATGCACAAGTGCCTTGTCTCAGACGATGAACTCTTCCATGTCACCCTCTACGATTGGCTGGTCAACAAAGGCCTCAAGGAACAACTACTAGCGGTAAGAAACCAGTAAACCTAACCAAGTCAAAGCCTTTGTATCAACTCTTATAATTCCATATTATCTTATTACAAGTCAATTAAAAAAAAATCATACCTAGATCTGAAGTCAAATGAATTTATGCTTTTTGTCACACAATGCTTTTTTTAAGACCCCTATTTTTAAGCCTAAAAATAAAATGTTTTTTGCAGACTCTGTAGGCAGCAAGCCAAATCGCGTCTTATTTCAGGCTTCAGCGTTCAAAAACCCATGCTGTGAAAGACCTTATACTCAGAGATATACGGTATATGATTCTGTCCATTGATATTCCTTTAAAAAATTAGAAACCAGGCACAGAAGTACTTTAAACATGAAGTAAATTTATCTTTGATTCTCTCCACTTTATTTACCTTACTTATTTTTGAAGGAAGTTTAAAATGTTCACTTCACTTTATGTACATTTTGCTGCACCCTCTCGATTTCTGTCAGATACCTTCGCCCTTTGTTGAGCCGTACATCAAGCGGGCCGTCAACTACAACACTGATAGTCTGGAGATGTTGGATCTGCTGTGGAAGTATCATGAGAAGAGCAAGAACTACCCGGCCGCTTCTAGGATCCTCTTGAAGCTAGCGGAGAGACACAGGTAAGAACCTGACCAGTTAGAAGCGTACCAATCACATAAAAGAAATACATGTAATTTGCATTAAGGTAGAGTGTATAAAGTCAATCTTTATAATAGAAAAACCTTGCACTCTATAGGTTAACGGTTAATGGGTGAAGTCCACTCTGATATCAAGTTGGTTTCAATAGAAGCAGAAAAATGAGAGGATAACAGGTCAGTAAAAGTATTGAGCAAATTCAGATTAAAAATTGTGTAGTTATGAATTTTTGAAGTTCCTATCAATTAAACACAAATTGGCAACTCTATGACCTATCTTGCAAGCTCCTCTTGAATTTGTTCTGTACAGAAAATTTCATGAAATTTCATTTTGTTTGTTATTGATGATGGAATAGATTTTTTTCCATACAGGGGTTGTATAGAATCATATTTGCAATAATTATGTTTAGGATGCATGTATGACCAAAAAATTATCTTAAGGGAAAATAAAATTTCTGATAAATGGTTTGGCTGATTGAGGATTGCTGTTCATAGACTGGTGCATAATCATGTCAATCTTGCTTCTCCTTTCAGTACGGATGTGAAGCTACAGCAAAGAATAGAGTACTTTTCTCGTGCAGTGATGTGCAGCAAGAGCAGCAGTCTGAGGACAAGCTCGGCAAGTGAAGGAGAATTCCTGCATGAAATTGAAGAGAAACTTGAGGTAGAAAGAAGTAGTTTTTCACAATATTGTTTTGTTTTTTGTGTGTTAGTTCCTGACTGATAACTTTCTCTGGCAACCTAAAAATATTCTTATATTTGATTTTTATGCAACATGTCTGTGTAATCCTATATACATATTTCTGTGTACAGTGTTTGTAACTTTACCAAGAATGGGCCAAATTTCTTATCATTTTGATGATTCCAGAACCGTGCAGTAAACACCAATACTTATATGCTAGATGATCAACCTTTTCTGATTGATTCCACACCGTTTCTTTCACACTGCAATCCCATGACCAGAACTCAACTTTATCTTTAATAAATCAGATTCAATTTTTAAGGTTTGTGCCGAACTTTGTCTATGAAAATAATCTGTTGTTTTGACCTATGGAGCGATAGTGGTTGAAGAGAATCAGATCGGTTGACTGATAAAAAGATGGCAGCGATTTTAACCAGTTTCGTATTTCTCCCAGGTGGCCCGCCTCCAGTTACAGGTGTATGAAGCCATCTCTCAGTCGTGTAACCATAGCGACCCACATGTACAGAATGCCCTCTCCGTCCTCGACTCGGAGTTGATTGACATTACCAAAGTAAGTGTATCTATTTTCACTGGTAGTTCATTAAAGGCATCGTTTAACAATGTTAAATCTGAGATGCATGGCCCTACGTGTTAGCAGTGTCTGTGATACGGTGTAATATTGAAGCCCTAAAAAAAATTGTGATTCAAAATGATCAAGAAAAAGTGCCTCAAAAGAGTAAAATTCTTTGATTGACCGGTTTTACCATACCCGTTTTCCCCAATAGACTGTAGTGTAATGAAAACCGTTTGGCAAATGCCAAATTTGATTTCGATTTCCAATCATAAATATCTTGATAATCAGACAGGCAATCGGCTTCATGGGGTTCCTGACTGACCTACAGGTTTATAATTATCATTGCAGCATAGCTAAATCCAGGATTTTGAAAATTTGGCTGTGGGTATTTTTTTTCTGATAAGACATCCTGTCACTTTCTATGTGCTGCCCTCTTTTTGCTGATTGAGGACAACTGCATGAACCTGTTGTTGCCGGCTGGATAAGAGCAGTACAGGGCAGCAAATTAGAACATATGGGTTAAAGACGCATAGTAGTGGGCTCTCTTTTGGGAATTAAACACCATTTGGGTGTTGACCCAATAACGGGTGTTGTCAGTCAACAGGATTAGCCTTCAGTTTTATGACCAACAGGCCTTATGTAATGCACTGCATTTTCCACCCATCCCCCATATTGTAAAGTCATTATCTTACATATTCCGCACCCAAAGACTCTCTGAGAGACTAGGGGGGATTTCTTGATGGGACCACGGGTTGCTGTGTACACGATTTGTACATCCACCAAGTGTGGTGTCAGCGAATTGTGACCTTCTGCACATAGACACTGATCCATCTCCTTTTATCCTCGGCTACTGTCCATTACGACTACATTTTTATGGGTCGCCCTGTAATTTCTATCAATGTCAATTGTTCTTTTTTTCCTTGACTGCAGCTTTATGGTGACTTTGCCAGTGGGTTTGACCTGTCCAGATGCAAGCTGGCCATTGTCCACTGTGCCGGTCACTTCGATGAGGAGCTCATTCAAGAACTGTGGCGAGAGATTATTGATAAAGGTTTATAAACTTATCTAAAAAATGAAGTTTGAAGCATGGTCCATTACTCCTTGTTTAACTGGGCTTTTTGGAGTATTTTCTTTCGGCCAGGGAGGGGGGTGTTTGTAATCTCGATCTCGGCTGTTGGAGATCCATTTTACACCAAATTTTACATGGTCATAGACACACATGTAAAGGAGACCTGTGCATCATTTTAATGAAAGTTTTGTTATAAAAAAATTCGATCTTGCTCATGGAGGGCTGCTTGGACACCCAAGATGCTTGTAAAAGAGGAACTGTGCAAAAATCTTCAGGAAAATGTACTTATTGAATACTTTGTTGTCATTTATGCAAATCAGATGCCTAATTTTACATATTTATTGGTCTTTCATCTGAAAATGAATTTTGGTATGGCATTATTTTTTGTGAATTTCTATATATGTGTTATCTTGTTGTTATTTCTAATTTATTTTATTTTCTACAGTTTAAACAGTTTTGTACATAACATGCAATGTCTTAAATTCGTATTTTTTTTGTGTGCCTTTCTTTCAGAGCTATACCAAAGTGGGGACAAGCTGGCTGCTACCCGTATGGCCATCCTGAGTAAACTTTTGATTAGCTTAGGCAAGATTTACAGCACGTCAGAGAGATACTTTCCCTTGGGTAAGCACCGAGTCACGCCTAAGGTTACAGCTGATGAGCGATTATTCAAGAATACTAGCAATAAAGAGACGAGAGAAAAAAATGGGCATGAAAATAAAAAGTTCTTCATTTTCAATAGTTCAAGCTTTTACAATTATCTGATTCAGTTGAATTCCATCGTAATAAAATCACTAAATCCTCAACTACCGTATTTGCCGGAGTAAAGGCCGCAGTATTTTTGGAAGAGAAAATATCAAAAAGTCGGGGTGCGGCCTATGCGGCGAAAGAGTAAAAAAAAATATTAAAAAAAGTCAAAACCAGCACGAATTTGCACATATGGGACTAGATCTACGAACGGTACAATAACTATACATTTCCACACATCTTACTGACAATTTTATCTTGCATTGTTGACATGAAGACGAAAATAAACTTCCAAAAACAACATCTGCCGATAGATCTTGATCCAAGTTCGTGCCAATGCATTGCAAAAGTAAAAGAAGGGCCCGTTTAACGGAGCTGTCACGAAGCATCCAGCACGCGAAGTCGCTATTTTGAATCCATTTCAATGCACAAGAGAGAGGCGCAATGTATACATCACAGAAAACTACATTGGTTAGCATCAGTGCGGGTTGGCCGAGCGGTCTAGGGCAGTGATTTTAGTCACATCAACATTTGAGCGCAAGAGATCAAATCCTGATTTCGACAAAAGTTTTTTTTTTTTTTTTTTTTTTTTTTTTTTTTTTCTTCAAAATCGGGGGTGCGGCCTATACGGCGCTGTAGCCTTATCGCCGGCAAATACGATAATTGTAAACACAATGGCCCGCATTCACAAAGGAGTTTTAAATTTAACCCATGGTTTAAATCTTCAGTTACATACCCATGGTTTAAAATTAGTGCAGAATAAGCGTGACACATTCAGAGGTCCAATATTATAGGCCCGCAAGGCAAGGTACGCTTAATTTGGCTTAATTATAAACCATGGGTTATGTAAATGAGGGTTTAAACCATGGTTTAAATTAAAACTTCATTGTGAATTGGGGCCAATAGGTGCATTCATATCACACTCTTCCCAGGGAATGCTCAAGGCACCTACAAAGTACTGATGTTAGCCTAGTTTTAGCCGAGCTGCCCTATAATACTGAAAGCATTCAAGGATTACTTTCCTACCAACTAGTACTGCTTATTAACAGATTTAGAAGAAGAATTTTTTTTTGAAAATCAATGATTTTCCATGATTTTGAAGTTGACTCAGCACAACTGATTATTTATGGTCCTTGGGCCTTGGTTAAAGGGATTGGGTAATTTTTTTCTCAGATTCTGAAACAAAATCCTAGATTTAGCTCATGCTGCAATGATAATTATAAAACCTTTAGGTCAGTCAGGAACCCACTGACTTTTACAAGCCGATCGCCTGTCTGATTATCAAGATATTTATGATTGGAAATTGTAATTCAAAAATTCGTTTTGCTACGGCTTTTATAACACTACAGTCTATTGGGGAAAATGAGTATGGTACAAGGGTCACTCAAAGATTTTTACTTTTTTGAGGTCACTTCATGATCATTTTGAATCACTTTTTTTTTTTAGGGCTTCAATATTACACCATATCACAGACACTGATAACATGTAGGGCCCTGCACCTCAGATTTTACATTGTTAAACGATGCTTTTAAACTAAATTCTCACATTTCCCCCTTAACCATCATTCAGATTTCTTGGTGTTGCACCTAGAGAAGAAAAACTGTGAATTAGACTGGAGCGAGTCGTGGGTGTTCAAGACTCTGCTGGCAGCCGATGTACCCCTTCTTAAACTACACTGTGTGTACGACAGACACTTCAGAGCTAAGGTGAGGCTCATAAGACAAAGTTTTTAAGAAACGGTTAAAGCAGGTTGTTGGACATAAATGTGGTTGTAAGGCACATATGCAAATATTTGACCAACATTTTTGACAAGGGAATGTATTTGTTTAAGTTTATTACAGATGTATTATGTTTACTTCAAAAGTTGCAGAGATTATTTGAGTCAAGTATTGTTTTATTACTATATTTCCTCGTTTTTCTACCTCAGTTGCTTTTCGTTTCAATGCTTTATTCTTTCGTTTGCTGTAAAAAGATTATATATCATCTATGACCAGTAAAAGCATTTGGTACAAAGAAATGAAGAGTCTTATGATCTCTGCCGTGAAACGCCCGATCGCTGCGAAAATTTGCATAGATGTCAAGTGAAGTGTATAGAATACTATGGTAATTTCAAATTTTTGAAAAATTCACTCAATTGCATATTTATGGTAATTTATGCAAATAAGGTCTTAAAATTCACATTTTTGCCCATTATTCATATTTAAGCATTCTTTCTCACTACATATATTTGTTAGACCATTTGGAATAATAATACAACACAAACAATTGAAAAACCAGGGTTATTCCTTATGTTATCTATTGTTTTGATAATTTCTTATGTATTTCTTTGTTTTTTTAACTTATGTATTTTATTGTTTTTGTTGTTTTATTTCATTTCCAACTATAATTCAACTATTTTAACCCCAAAATAAACATCTAAACTATAAACAAGACCAAATAACCCATGCTTTATCTCTTTATTTGAAAAATGAGATTTCCATATGTTTTGTACACAAATCACAAAAATGAGCAATTTTCGGGCTGACATGCAAAGACAAAAGGACACGTGACTTTGTAATGGTAGGTCCGATTTTCGAAAAATTCTTTCGAAAGATGCGCAAGACTTTCTTGCGTTAAAAAAATGTCGAGGGGGGGCTTCTTAAGCCCCCCCCCCCCCCCCCCCCCCCGGGCTAAATAGGGTTAAAAGACAAAAACCTCTATTAAATACCCTTCCCCTCCAAGAACTAATAAACGACACTTGTTTTGTTTGCTATGCCTAGGATCCATTCTGGCAGACATCCCGTAACCCTCAGCACATGCTGCGAGTCATCGCCTCTCTTCTCTCTGCTTTCACCGACAATGCTGCACTCGTACATCTACAGGATAGGTAGGTGGAACAATCTCTTGTACTATGGCGCATATCTATCTACACCAGGCTCTCTCCGTCAGATCCTGATCAAATGATTGGTCGAAACACAGTCACATGGAATTAATTTTGTGAGACTTTCACACAAACTGTGGGGTGTTTCACAAAGATCCTAAGTCAAACTTAACTCTAAGTTGGACTTAAAAATTATGGAGTGCTATTTGTACTTTGTAGCCTTTAACAAAAATACATTTAAAAGCGAAAATTCAAGTATTTTAGACTTTTTATTTATTCCACATCAAGAACATGAAATCTTTTTGATAATAGAAAATATGAATGATTTGAATCAACATGTATGCCTTTTAAAATATTTTCATAGATGCTAACGGCTTTCCATAATTGTTAAATCCAACTTAGAGACAAGTTCAACTTAGATCCTTTGTGAAACACCCCCCAGGAACTCTCTGCCAGATTGTAATCAAATGACTAGTGGAAACACAGTCACATTGGAATAATTTCCCAAAACTTTCACACAATCTGATCATTAAATAGCATGCAATAGTTTCCAGTACTAACCAATTAATTCTTAGTACGCGATGTGTAGTAGTGCACAGAGAGGTAGGTAACTTACATGTATGCTAGATGTCAGCTAATACTGTGAAGCACTGCGGGTTTACTTGTGGAGACGCATGTGCTCATTACAGTACACTGAAATGGGGTTTATCTGGCATGAATAATGACATGGACCAAGAAAACCTATGTACAGTCAAACCTGTTTATAGCGACCGCCCAAGGGAAACCATTTTCAAGGGAAACAAAAAATGTGGTCTTTGTAGACAGGTGGTCACCGAAGCAGGTTTGACTGTACCGGGGTATCTGCATTAAGATGAGATGTATGATAACTATTTATTTTTAAAAAAATTGTGGTCCCACTAGAAAATACTCCAACTTACCTATATCTCAAGGGTGAGGGAATTGTGATATATATGATGAGAATTCCACAAGATGGAAGGGATGGAAGTGAAGTCCACTCTTGCTGAATGAAAACACCTGTTATTGGGTAAACACCAGAATGGTGTCAAATTCCCCATGAGGACCCAATACTGTGCGTCTTTAACAGAAGTTCCCTGCACTTTACTGCCCTTTTGTTTTTCATTCTAGGCGTCTCTTCATCAACTCTACGCTGGATGCCATCGCTAGTTACAAGGTGGAGCTAGAAGCTACCCCCGGCAGGCCAAACATAATACAGTCCTACCTGGCTAGCTTTAATGACCTGCAGAGCCGTCTGGATAGGATGCAAATCAACCGTGCAAGATAAGAGCGCTGTCCCAAGTTTGCTACAAAGCAATGTTCAATGTGCCTCAAGAGGATGTTATCAACCAAGCATGATAGAAAATAGCAGTCCACTAGCTTTATATATCCATTTTGAATGGATTCAAATCAACCATGCGAGATGGAAATAGTCCTACCTACTTTGCTCCTTTATTTATAATTGTAGAAATGCAGTTTGCAAGGACTTTATTCAAGCAGGGTTGAAGCCTCCAAATCTCCTGAAGCCTCTGAGAAAAGGTTATTTGCCTTCATTTAATTAGAAGGGAGAAGGGAGAGATATTAAAGGCAGTGTTTACCAATGTTTCCAGTTTTACAAATCTGAGATGCATGGCCCTATGCATTGTCAGTGTCTGTGATATGGTGTAATATTGAAGCCCTAACAAAATTGCACTTCAAAATGATCATGAATTGCCTCAAAAAGGTAAAAATCTTTGAGTGACCGGTTTTACCATACTCATTTTGCCCAGTAAAAACCATTAGGAAAACGTTTTTTGAAATTTTGATTTCCAATTCAAAATATCTTGATAATCAGATCGGCTTGTAAAAGTCATGGGATTCCTGACTGACTTTAAGGTTTATAATTATCATTGCAGCATGATCTGAGGCAAAGATACCCAATCCCTTTAAAGAGAAATTAGGGATTTCTTCATGGAGAAACCATTCAGACATTTTTTTCTTTTGTGAAAAAATATTGTTCAGTTTATGGGACAAAATCACAGAAGTTACATCTCATGTGAATTCCACTTTTGGGTCCCACAAAACATTGCGTGGTATTTGTACGCCACCTGGATGCCGCAACCCCTACCAAATGGTACTTATCTGGTCATGGAAAATGGCAAATGTGGGTCATGGAAAGTCCTTGAAAGCCATGGAATTTGGTCCTCAAATTTCTGTGAGAAACTGAGAACCCTGCAGAACTCAATTTTATCTTTAAATTCTGTATATTGTATGAAGTATTTCATGTTTTCCTTCATATTTTGCCTGATCCCATAGCTAGCAGGGCTTTACTAAAGCGATGCACTACTCGAATATGTGATCGAGTGTCATTGTAGTATGGCGAAATATTTATATCTATATGGAATTCATATTCTCAATTATTTTTCCTGTAGATGATTAACATATGTGTACAGGTATCCAATTTATGTATCTTGTAGCTGTGATGCACAATTTTGTTAAACAAAAGTCACATTTTCTATCAGAATATTTTCATTTAGAAAAAGGGATTATTTTCTATGTTGGTTGTGAATACCCATGGGTTTAAAAAGAACATTTTGTTGACTAGTTTCAGGGTCCCGTTTCATAAACGTTATCATCAATAACTACTGTCACGATTCTATTACAAATTTGCCAATGCCTATAAATGAAATGTAACTATTTAAGTAGGTAGCTTATGGCAGCTATTGTAATTGATAACAAATTTTATGAAAGGGGATCGAGGAGTCTCTTAAGAAGTCAGTTTTCAATGAACCTTCAACCTAACCTATAATGTATCATTTGGATCAACTCCTCATTTTTTTAAGGCGGTTGAAGATATCTGTTTATGAAGCAAAAATTATTACAACGGATGCATACTTGGGAGTTGTAAGAATAGATGATTATGATTATAAGCATTCTTGATAAGAAATTGAATTGTACATTGACCTTGAAGCACATGCATGTATTAACGTTTTGTACAGGAAAGAAAATTGCAAACTCTTTGAAACTTATAACGTGATGTATGTTTGTACATTTTTGTTTTCCCAAGAAAAATTAAAATTAAAAAAACATGATCCAATAAAATGATTCAGACCTTATTTCCTTTCCCCTTTTTTGAGTGGGTAGCTGACTGAGTGGATTGGTTAGTAATATTGAGCGAGTACAAACCACTTCTGAATAAACAGTGCAACTGATCATTCTGACATCTCAGCACCCCCCCCCCCCCCCAACAACAAAACAACAACAAAAAAATTCTCCCTCTCTGGCCTTCTTTCTTGTCCACCCTCTCTTTCTTTCTCTCCAACATTTTCCAACACTTTTCTTTCTTGTTCTCTCTCTGATTACTTCCCTCCTGCTATCTTCCATTCTCTGGTTTCTGCATCTCTTTCTCTCTCTTCCCCCTCTCCCACTCTCTGTCTTTTGGTTCATTTTTATTACTTGTGACATGTTGACATGTCAAGTTTGAAAATGGAATGCAAGAGGTCACTCAACCAATATGTCCATACAATGTGCATATTTACTGATCAATATAAAAGCATCAAACATTGAAAATAAAATTATTAGGCCTACCCAATCAAACCATTTAAAATGAAACTGTACCATGTAACTTCTACATGCATTTTTTTTCTCCATCTTTGAACATTTTCATTTATTAATTTTCAGACAAGTATACTTGATTAGTAGTAAGTTATTAAAGAGGGTCTATTGCATTTTGAACAACCCTCCCCCCCCCCCCACCCAAACAAGTAATAAAACAACATTACAACAAAGAAATAATACGAACAAAGACAATTAAAATCCTGTGATCTTTATTAGGCACATATGTATTATGTACATGCCACATTAAGGGTCAAATAAGCTAGAAATGAATCTCAAAGAGCACTTCTCAAATTCTGTATGCAAAAGAAAATAAAGACCGATGTAAAAAGAAATATATGGGCCAGCCCTTCAAATAAATACGAATCTTCTTCAGTTTTACTTCAATATTATTTATTTTTACTACAGATACAGACGTTTAACCAGTATAGACCCTATTAAAACATGACAAGGTGCCCGACTGCCTGGCCTGGGAGTCGACTATCTAAGTACACAGAAAATGAGTGAATATGTAAGATGATGATTATCAAACATATGAATATGTTTGATTTACATGTATATGAACCAAATTCTACAATAGTTTCTCCTTACAAACATCACTCGATTGGTGATGCCACCTAGACAATAAATTGTTAAGGGAGGCTCACTAGCAAATCATTGATGTCTGTCTTTCTCTATCTCTCTTTTTTTTCTCTATTCCTTTTCTCTCTCTCTCTCCCTGCCTCACTATCTTTCAATCCTCCTCTCTCTCTTATTTGCTATGTTTGTTTGTTTGATTTATTCACCATGTAAAATTACTGTTTACAGATAATAAAATACAGTGGGTTACATTGAGATATGTAGTAGGAACAATGCGTAAACAAAAATGTTTGAAGCGCAACGTCCTTAAGATAAAATAGTTGATACTTATTAGGTAAAGATAGAACATGGCTTAAATTAAAACATTCTGTCGTTACAAAATAAAACAAAATACAAAAATCATGCCCCTTAACCCTTACTGTACTGGGGGGGGGGGCCTGGGAGGCCCCCCCCCTCGACATTTTCGAAGATTGCGCCGCAACCGCTTGAAATTTTGAATTGTCGTTTCATGACTTTTTTCCCTCAAGTCTTACGCACCTTTTGATACCATTTTCGTCGCAATCGGATATACCTGTGAGGTGTTACATAACAATTAGTATGCGCATGTCATCAAAAATATGCTATAATTGCATATATTCATGTACAAGCAGAAATGTGAATACAGGTTTAGATGTATTCCTTCCTAAGTGGGTGACATGAATTGATATCGAATTGCTTTTATATGTTTCTTAAAGTAACTTGATGTATTCCAGAACAAAAGAATACATAAGAAATAAAAACAATAGATATAATAAGAAATTAAAAAACAATAAAATACATAAGAAAATAAATATTTGAAAATCGCATCAAATTTGCATAAATTATCATTATTAATTACATCAAAATAAATATTTTGTGTTGGAGAAGAAGTTTCATATGAATAATGAGTTTCAACATTCAAAAAGTGGAGTTTGACACGTTTTCTGTAAAATGCATTATTAGCATTTTGCATAATTAATTAGGCTATAACGACAAAAATTTGCATATTCGCAAAAAACTAATTACACCATCTTGTTCGTTACGTAAATATCTACAAACATGCAAATTTTCGTGTTCATCGGACATCCGGCGGCCGAGATCATAGGAGGTCAGGAGGTGCTCAAAATAGCCCAGTACAGTAAGGGTTAACGTATTTGAATAACAAGCAAAAACAAGGAAATGTATGTAATACTATCACATGTAATTCCTCCTTCCATGAGATACGCAGTAATCTTGAGCATCTACACTCGCAGTTACGTGATAAAAGTTATATACACTGTATTTAGTAACTGCATGTAGTTCATGGAAGAATGAAAAGAATTTACACGTCTATTTATATTAATACTGACCATTATAGAAACTACAGAGTCCTTTAATTAAAGATTTTTTAATGGTCCCTAAGCTTGTGTTTGGAAGGTACAATACTTGATCGAGCCCCCTGAATGGCAATTGGCAAATATTAACACTTTCATTAATAAAACTAATTATACATTTTGCAATAGTATACAAGAATTGAATTGGATTGAATTTTATTTATTTATTCACCACCATTGGAACCATTGAAATAAAAGTTATATAAATGTACAATGACAATGTCAATATAACATAAATATAAACATGACATGAATTAAAATACATGTTCAACAGCGACATACATGTACATTATAACAATTTTTTTAAAATAGTTATAAGTAAATTTAGTGTCAAGAGTAAAACAATAAATAACTTTTTACAATGAGTTTATGATCGACGGTAAAATAGAATTTAAAATAGCACATGTGTTATTCGAGCCTGACTCTCGGTATCTAAAGCCTAAAATAAAGTTAAAGAAAAATACACGATGGGTTTCCAAATCGTATGATGAGTTTGATGTTTTGAAACCATGTGTGTGCTACAGGGGAAATTCGTTATCGTATACTGTATGCAGACTAATTGATAATGGGGGCCTTGGAACACTAAAAAACAAATGTATGAAAGTCTAAAGACAAGGATGGCAAGAATAACATTTCGTTATTTTTCGTTCTTGCTTGGGTTATTTTATCATCATTTCGTGTACTAGTGTTTGGTGACGAGAATGACAGGTTAACAACCCTTTCTGCCGTTTAAATGATATTGAATCTGACAAGTTGCCCAGCTTAGAGTCAGAAATAGCCAGGTGTGAGAAGAATTTGAGGAGAAATCATAACGCAACGAGAAATACACATGCGAAAAAAGAACCTCCTATTTAATGGAGTACCCAAGTTTACGGCTCATGAGGATGTCTTTGAAACTACGATAGCTACAATTGCGAAGATACTGGGAATCACCACCGACGACACAAAATAAATTCAGCTTATTAATGCCCATAGACTACCTAGGAATACCACAGCAGCCCCACGCCCGGCTACGAACAACGCACCGGAAGCCATAATCATACGTTTCTGGAGGATGTCGAATCCTGACAACGTCTTACGTGCCTTTGAACAACCAAGACCCAGCCGACAGTCCAGCTG